AATACCGTGGCTTAGAAGGTACGAACCACGGGTAAACTGGCAACATCGGACAGTAACGATGCCTGCCATTTGTTCATCAGATGGCCATCTGATGAACGTTTTGGAGCGTCCACAAGCGTGTGGATGTACTACGAGTGAGTGCGATGGCCTCACTTGTGGTACGGTCGTTAGTACGACTGCACAAAACCTTAGTGTACCAAACGGTTACACTTCGGAGCAAAGTGCCGGCGGCTGTGAGGAAACACAGGCTGCGCCGAAGGTCCACCACTCGAATAAGTCGGGTGGACTGGGACAAAGATGTATCCCTGTAGGGGAACATCTAGAAGAGAAACAACCGATCGCTCAGGTTAAGCGAAACGATAATCCTAGATCGACTGGAGAGTCTTTCGTAGAGGATCTCGCTGTGGTTGCGCAACCCCAGCTAGAGGAAGTAAAGGGAATAAGTCCCAAGATTACAAATACGGCGGAAATAAGTTCCCCGAAACCCGCGGGAATAAGTCCCAGGGAAGCCGAAGGTATAAGTCCTTCGAAGCCTGAGGGAATAAGTCCCCAGGAAATGACAGACACATTGAATGTCATAGTCAATGATGGATCAAGTGTGGGCGCTTATACACTTGATCTGATTGCGCCTCCGAAGTTGACTTCGGAGATCACTCAGTTGCCAACGCTCGAACATAAAAGGTTCTTGCGTGATCTGCGTAGTGGCAAAGTCAAGCAGATCTGCGTACTCGTCGCTGACGACGAGTGTGTAACCGACATAAGGTCAGCAACAGTGTTTACTGAGAACGAGAGAGTTCTCAGTAGTTCATCTATGGACGAGAGTGTCCTAGATGAAAAGACACGAATTGAGCGATATGACTCCCAATCATAAGAATCGCTCAAGACAAATCCTCTCTATGAAGATTTGGCTGAATTCAAGGATGTATTCCCTGAAACTGTTCCGTGCGAATTACCGAAGGATAAAGGTATTCGACACGAAGTCGAGCTTAAACCAGGCTCGAAGTACTGTGTCATGAAGCAGTGGCCACTGCCTCGTGAACAAGTACTTGCGATCGACAAATTCTTTGCCGATCGTTTAGCTGCGGGCCATGTGAGGGAATCAACTTCCCCACATAGCTCTCCAACCTTCTGTGTGCGAAAAGCAACAGGAGGGTGGCGGATAGTGCACGCGTTCAACAAATTGAATGCTGCAACGGTACCGGCTCAGACGTCGATACCAAGGAAGGACGTAATCATTGATGGTATGTCAAAGGGTACCATCTTTTCGTCCATGGATTTGATAGATGGCTTCTATCAAATCCTTATGCAAGGACGGGATATACCCTATACCGCAGTGAGCACGCCTAGCGGCATGCTCTGGGAATGGCTAGTAATGCCACAAGGGCTTAGTAATGCCCCCACCACGTTCAGCAGATGTGTATCACATCTGTTGAGACCAGTACGAGAATTCGCGCCGAGTTATTTCGATGACGTATTCATCCATAGTCGAGCTATGGATGGAAAGTCGGACGTTGAGGTTTACAGGTACCACGTCCGACAGGTTCTTACAATCATGCGAAAGCATCAATTGTATGCAAACCTCAAGAAGTGCATATTCGCCGCAAGCGAAATACCACTTCTTGGGTGCATCGTTGGTAAGAACGGAGCACCTCCTGATCCCGAAAAGATCAAGGCGATCACCGACTGGCCGTGCCGGTTGATATCAAAGGTCTTCAAAAATTCCTTGGGCTAGCGGCGTATTTGCATAAGTATTCACGCAATTACGCCGAGATGACTGTGCACCTCTCTCGTTTGTTGAAAAAGAACGAGAGGTGGTCATGGAACGCTGAATGTCAGCGCTACTTTGATGGTATCGAGCAGAGCTTGATACAATCCCCAGTCCTATCAATAGCCGATCAGGACAGGCCATTTCATGTGGTCTGTGATGCCAGCGATTTCGCAATCGGCTGTGCATTCATGCAGTACGATCTAGAAGGCGTTGAACGCGTCGTCTGCTATCAGTCGCGTCAGCTGCAACCAGCTGAGCGGAACTATCCAGTGCACGACAAGGAACTCCTTGCCATGAAGTATGCACTCGCGAAGTTCAGAGTCTATCTATTAGGAGAAAGACCCTTCATTGTTTACACTGAAAATGCGTCATTACGCACGGCAGTGAACAGCCCGCACCTTTCACAACGAATGGCGCGGTGGTTTTCATTATTTGCAGAATACAACTTTACGGTCGATTACAAACCAGGACGACTTAATGTCGTCGCTGATGCACTCTCACGTCGGCCCGACTTTGAAACAGTCGCGAAACCCAACAGTGAGACAGTCACTGTTGCGGTTATGACGTCCTCAGTCCCATCTACAACGTTACATGATGATGTGAGGCGGGCATACGCCCACGATGGTGAGATAGTGAAGTTGTTGTCACATCTCTCCCAACCATCTCGAGAATCGTTGAAACGATTGTCGTCTGCGTATCGATCTGCATCAGATCGATACACTACTCGTAACGGTTTACTGTATTGTACAGCCGTTTCTGGTGACACACCACGTGTTGTCATTCCAGATGATACTGATCTGCGTTCGCGGATCATGTTCGAGTATCACGATGCTCCTATAGGAGGACATCGTGGCCGAGAGAAAACATATCTCACGGTAAGTCGAGACTTTTACTGGCCCCGCCAGTATCAGTTTGTGCGAAAGTATGTTCGCGCATGCGAAGTCTGTCAGCGAGTGAAGTCAAGTCCTTCACTGCGTGCACCTTTACAGCCTCTACCGGTTCCGGCTGAGTGCTGGGAATCCATCTCAATGGATTTCGTCTTCGGATTACCCAAAGACGCACGCGGGAATACGGGTATTCTCGTATTTGTTGACAGATTCAGCAAAATGGTACACCTTGTGGCTGTACCAGAGACAATCACGGCAAGTGGCTGTGCTTGTGTCTTTATTGACACCATCTTCCGACTTCATGGGTTGCCCCGTGAACTCGTATTAGACAGAGATCCACGATTCACTGCTGATTTCTGGCGTTCCGTGTCTAAATCACTCGGAACGCGCTTAAAGATGTCAACATCTGATCATCCAGAGTCAGATGGTCAGACGGAACGTGCCAATCGTGTCCTTGAAGAGATACTTCGAAGATACGTACACTCTTTTAAGAGTTGGAGTGAGTTTTTGCCAATTGTAGAGTTTGCCATCAACAACTCGGTGCATGCGTCCACGACACAAACACCGTTTTACGTGAATGGCTTGCGCCATCCGCGTGTACCCACCTTACTAGAGTGTAACTCTGGTTTAATGGGGGGAGGGACTCGCGCAAGCAAAAACCGATTTGGTTCACGCTCATCACGCTCTGACGAAGAAGTCACTGCGTTTGATGCCGATATCGATAACATCGATATCGAAGAAGATGATGCCAGTGAGAGTGCGGAAGCCCTCACTGAAGTAGATGATCCCAGTGAGAGTGCGGAAGCCCTCACTGAAGAAAAGTTTGATGTTGCTGCAGTGCGCTCACAGCGCACTGAAGCTAACGAGTCATCAGATGAGTTCATACTGGCTCGTGAAACGGTAGTCCGTTTTGTGCAAGACTCCATTGCCGAAGCGGTGAATAAGCAAAAGCAAAACGCTGATAAGAATGGAAGGACAAACACTCTTGTATTTAATAAAGGTGACTTAGTCCTACTGTCTACGGTTAATCTACCAGAGCATGTAGTGACTAACTTGGGTAGCAGTAAACTACTACCCAAGTACATCGGCCCATTTCGTGTATTGCACCGCCTAGGCAATGCATACACGATCGAGTTACCACGTAAGATGCGAACGCATCCCACGTTTTACGTTGGTCGGCTTAAGCCGTACCATCAGTACGCTGCTTCTTCCGATGAAGAACGCCCTTGCGCTCAAGCATCTCGCAGAGAGCCTTGTGCTCCCGATGGTGAGCATCAACAAAGGTCTGAAGAGCAGCTATCTCATCCCGAGACCGATCAACAATCCCACGAGCTACCCTTAGCTCGTCACGAAGAGATGCCAGAGATCTCTCGTTCTCGAGCTGAGCAAAGGCAAACTCAGCTCGATGCTTCGAGGCAGTGTCCGCCATTTGGAGACGCCTATTCCGCTCATGTTCGAGATCGTCGCGTAACCCTTGCGTTACGCGATCAAAAAGCTCTCGGGAAACACCGATCCACATGATCGTGTGGAGAGCGTCTTTCCTCCTCCTCCACCTCCATTAGAGGACTCTCGCGGTGGCCAGCGCTATCTAGTTGAGCAGCTGTTGAATCACCGCGACGTGAACGGACGTCGGACGAGTTATCTCGTCCGGTGGCGCGGCTATCCCCCGTCCTGGGATTCTTGGGAGCCCCGCTCCCAATTGATGGTTGACGTACTGGGTCTGGTTGAGCAGTACGACGCGGCACATCCTGTGCCGCAGAAGGACCGCCGGAGAAAGTCTTCCCGGCACGGTCGTAAAGGGATTTCAGATTGTCAATCCCTTCGTACATCTTAGTAGAGATACGTACGCGCCAACACGGGCTAGTAAGGAGGTAAGCCTCTTTAGGTGCTCGTGCAGAGTTGTTCACACAACATGGGCACGGGTCTCCCCAAGAGAGGCAGGGTAATCCTTTCTCCCTTGACAGACGATGCAGCTTGTAGCGTGCACCTGTCGGGGTTCGCTTTTCAAACTTATCACGAGCTTTGATAAGTTTGTCGTTCCAAACGTCACGACCTACATCTTCAAGGTTATGAATGTAGGCGTTCCACGCTTGAAGCAGTGAGGGACCATCACGTTTGTGATTCCCAATGTACCATCGATGTTTGAAGAAAGCATCGATGAAGAATTCATGTTTAGCGCGATAGTTTTTCGCACTGGGGTCAAGGTTATGGATCCTTGACGAATCGAATAACTGTGTTCGATAACGATCACTCGTCGTCGCCGACAAGTGATCCATGACGGATTTTGGAGGCATCCATGCCTTCTTTTCAGGAGCGAGACGCAACACATTGCGGTCCCGCTCTTCCTACGACGTGCCGACAGAAGTACTGGCACCTCGCTGTGAAGTCGTGTCCATAGGAGAACCGACACCACTGTTAGCGCCCGAGTCTCGCGACCTCGAGCGCCTTCGCTTTGGCGATGGTTCATCTGATGAATCAGATGAACCAAAGATGCTGCGACGCAAAGCATCGTCCATGCCACGCTTGGCAGGCGGCTTGGATTCAATCGCCGTCGATAAGGAACCGTCTTCCGTATCAGGAGAATACGAGACACCGAGCTCGTACTCTGTGAAGACATGAGTGTCTTCATGACCAGCGCCTGCATCACCAAGTGACACAGGCTGGGTCGCTTCAGCAACCGATGAGACATCAGTTGCTGTGGTTTCTGCTTCGGCGTCCGCACAGAGACGTGCGAACGCGCTCTCGGCGGCCTTGCTCGCGCATCGCATGGGCTTGTTAACCATGCGATGAAATGTTGGAAAGTGGACTCGGACCAACAAGTGCAAACCCTGTCCCAAATGATTTGGGACGAGTATCCATTTAGTCAATAAGTCACTAAAGTGACTGATGGTTAAGGGGGGGGTGATGTAACGGGGTGAATCGTTACATAACAATTTATAAGAAATTGTTAATAGAATATAACTATAAGAGCTATATTCTCGGAATATTGTCATAAGGACAAATATTCTGTAGCACTTACGAGTAGTTCCTAATTGGTTGATATAGGCCATTATATCAACCAACGAAGACGCGCCACGACAGACGCACGCAATGAGTGGTGAGCAGATAACTGATTTACACATTTGTACTTAGACATAGTTAGATGAAGATAAATAGTGATTTATTGCAGACATTAACTACTACAAATACAGTTCTACTTTTTACTTTAACCAAGTACTCGCTTCTTCTTACCGTCTTCCTCTGCACGTACGAGTGTACGTGAAGTTCCGAGGCACCGCCTTATTCTGTCATCAGAATAAGTAGCTTGTACTGTCACCAGTACAAGCTTCAGGGTGCTCCGTTACACGATAGGTGATACAGATTATATCGGAACTTTGGTGAACGAGGCTGATATTGCAAACGGATTCATGGTGTCGATGTCGCTGCACTTGAGGTGCGAGTTAAGTGAGAAGAGAACGGTAAGGCTGCACCGCAAGCAAACTGGACGACTGTTCCAGATTGCGCAATCCTAGTAGCGACTGCATATGGATGACCTGTCGTGGTTTTGACCGACGAGGGACATACAACACCATATTCTATGTATTCCACGGCAGCAAAGGGTGCGGAAATAATATTGCTGCGTGTGGTGATCACTGGCGCGCGGCAGAGCTTTTTCCAGACAGTGCACTCGCCCCAAATAAGGTTATCTGATAACATCACTCCAGCCCGGAACAACGCGGGTTTTAATGCTGACACTTCTAGGGTCGTGTAGCGATTTCGAATCTGGTCACTCGATGGCATACTGAATTGATTTTAGAGTAAATTCGATCGTGGTAGTTGCGTACAATAATGTGGCGGATGTGGAAAAAAACTGTGTGGTGGATTTAACAATCCCCTTTTCTTTTTATTCAACGTTGCGGTAATTTTATTGTTTGACTATTCGGTATTTTTTATTTCTCCTCTTGTGGTGCATTTTCTCTATTTTTCGCATCATTTGATCCACCTTTTCTATTTTACCAAAAAAACAAGTCACGCAAAATAGTATCCGTAATCCTGATTTGCGGTGATCTCTGTAGATTTCAGATGCGTTTTTACCAGGTGCGTCTGAACATCTTCCACGAGATGAATTGATCGTACAATTGACACTCCTTGTAAATGCGTTTTATGTGAAAAAGGCCGCTCAATGGATTAGTTCAGCAATCCAATATTCTCGTTCGCGAATGCAATGATGCGGCGAGGAGCAGAGGATAGACAGGATGTTCATTAATCTGCTGTACTCTCTGTCGATTTAATCTTTTCATACGCATCGGTTTATAAAGTGGACCAGTTCGTTAAAACCGATGCGTAGGTGGCGGACTTGTGGTAATAAGAAGTGTTGGGACTGACGGGTCGGACACAATGACTCGAATCCAAACGCAAGATTTAGGATGCTTTGCTTCAACTCCCAGTCCAGCCACTCTCATGTCGATCGCAGATGCAGCGGCCGATGAATTTATACGCTCATCAGTTACTTGAGCTATCACACCTCAGAATTTTGGATGGATCGAGAAAAGTTGCAACGCTGTGGGCACTGATTTGATCCATCAATCAGACGGGTTCATCTTCAAATCCTATTTCGGTCTCCGGGATATCATTCCTGAGATTCCGTGGGAGGGCCCGATGGAGCTCAGGCGACCAACAAAAATAGGACGTCGATCATGTTCTGATTCGACTTTTTCTTCTGAGGAGCAAGACCTCGACAGTCGTCAAGTGCGGAAACCGAGTCAAGGCTCTATCAATATTATGTGATCAGGTACAGACGCGGATACTGGAGAGTGGGCGGTTACGCTTTCAAACGTCCCGATTCGACCATACCGGATGGCATCGTGAAAACCAACAACAACAAACATCAACAACGTTGACAGTAATAAAGACATTGAGTGGAGGATGAAAGTGTTGATGGATTGAGTTTGGATCAACACGGAGCAAGTCAAAGTGTCAAGCATAACATGAACTCCTTGAGTCTCAACAGCCAGCAACGACCCAATTCAGGAGCCATTTTCTGCTGTTTGCCACCATTGACGTGAAGCTCCGTCGGGTTGAGCTATGGACTTGCGGGAAGCTTTCCGTGTATTGCAACAGGTTCTCCTTGTAGCTCAGTGGCTTGCGGCTAGTGAGACGTTCCACCGTGTCCGTCACCTCCTTCATCGAACCGTTTGCCACCGTTTCTCCACAGCACAGGAGGTCTTCGATGCACAACTTCATAGGAAGGTGGGAAAAGTCGCCCGAGACGTCCGTAGGGAGGCCGCGATTGAGCCAGTAAGCACGTAGCTCCTTATCGGGCATGTCAACGAATTGCCCTTTGTATCCGCTGATGGAGTTCATCCAGTCAAACATCTCCCGGTCCGTGACGGCTTCCGGACCAGTGACACTCACCACCGTGTTCTTCTCCTGCTTCCCCAGCAGCAGAGCTCCAAAGACCCGACCACAGTCTTCAAGTGCCACGTAAGCCCCCGGGACGTCGTGGCTATTCGAGAGCCAGCGGTCTTCAGTGAACTGCCACGACGGCGCAAAGAAGCGCGGCGTGTTGTCCTGGTACAACCAATTGCGCTGGATGTTGTAATCCAGACCCGACGCGTAGATTTGCTGCTCGGTGAATTGGTGGTCTCGAGGCAGGAACGGCAGCTGGTCGTTCGGTTTGTCCGATCCCGCACCAACGAACGACGTGTAGCACACGCGTTTGACTCCCATGTCCTTGGCAGCTTGGATGCAGTTGACCATTTGACCACGACGACCATCTCCAAGGAGCCAAGTGGACACAAAAGCGACTGCTTACGCGTCCGTGAACACTCGCTCGAGGCTCTTCACGTCCAAGTAATCAGCTTGTTCGACGATCGCACCCTTTGCCTTCCAAGCTGCAACGCGTGCAGGGTCGAGCTTCGAGATATCTGAGCTCGTGAGTACCAAAGTATCCGCAGCGTTCTTGGTCTCGACTGCGTAGTCAGCAGCATGGCCTCCGATATTGCCCCCGACACCCGTGAGCACGTACTTGACCATCTTTGGACTGAGGACGAGTGATCGAAATCGACAATGAGGAGAACGCCACGCTGGACTTGAGGAAGTGCCACTTGCACTTGTCACGCACGTGCTGTCGTCAGATTGCAAGTGGAAGGACTGCAGTAATTGAAAGACAGTGTTTCGATTCGACGCTGTTCCGTTCTCTGTTGATGAACACAGTCGCTACTGACGTGCGTGGAAGTCGCCATTGCCAGTCTGAACTTCGATACTGATAAGGTTATAACTGACATAGATGGAGTAGGAAGATGCAGGTTGAAAGAAGGGTATTGCTGCTTTTCAACTTCCTGTAGGGTCTGCACCTTATTCGCGTCAAGGGATCCGTCATCGTGTCGTCGTGTATTCAGTGAGGACCGATGCCCATCATCAACTTGACAGCCAGCTGCTTTCTACGATCTTTCGAGCTCGTCTTTTCGTTCGAACCGTTGCGACTAACGTGACACGTGCATAGAGGACGTTGGATCGTGTCTGTTTTGAGAGGCAGCAGGTATCGCTTCGCTTGCTGACCTTGGTCATTGAAGATAGCGGTGCCGTGTGAACGACAGCTGCAATAGATGACACGGTTTTGTTACTACTAACTCGAATGTGAAGGCTCTGCATCAGTAGCGCTGCGTGATCTTTTATGTAGAAAATGACTCTGCTGTTCGATTGTAGGGAAAGGCGCTACTGACGATACTCGTTCTCCAGACAACGACCAATTCATTATTCCTTCCTTTATGTCAAGACTACGGGTAGACCCATGACCTGCTCAACTTGGCCACAGGAGGACGTCGCGGCGCTCGAATTGATCCATACTTCTCATGCTGTCGCAAGCCAAGTCATCACCAAATCCCTTTGCTGCTTCGAATTGCTGCGTTTTCTCTATGCAATTGTGATGTCGCTAAAATAAAGAGGACGGCCTCAGTATGGTGGCAACTCAAGACATTATGTCCCAAAATAACACAGATGTGCAAATATAGACCTTTCCAGAAATACGATCAGAAATCAGACGGCCCTGAAAGGAGTTGTTTGTCCGATTGACATTTTCACTGGTAGTTTCAAATGAAAAGGCCACTCAGTCAATGTCGTCGCTTATCCGAATTCCATCGAGGAGAGAGAAATGTGGTGAGGATACGAGAGATTGTAAACTCGCAATAGAAAGGTCTGATGTACTACGTTTGGACGATTAGTTAGACCGCAATATGACGGTTGGCTCACATGAAAAGAAGTTGCCAAGACTAGGCAATGTGCTCAAGCGTTTTTGGCACCGTACTTGTGCTACGCCTTCTTCGCACATCTAAGACGACAGTGTATTCTTTATTCCGCATCAACTGAAGCATTTAGGTGCGTCGAATCAACGCGTTTGTGATAGACTCGCGGTGCAAGAATTATTCAAATTTCACACCTCGTTTTTGATGCGAAGTATTTGCAGATTCGACATCGACTGGGAAACAGGTCTTGCCGCGGCTTGATTGGTCATTTGTATCTCATTCGTGTCATATACGGTCGAACTTATCGTCGCGTCATGCTTAAGTGCCACCTACGGGGATCTTGCCTTTGTCACTGATGCATGAGTGGCGATAAGTGGACCGACTTTGAGTCATTCCGAAGGGATAGAGGGCGATCAACATCGAGAATAGGCTGGCTGTCGTAGCTAATAAATCAATAGTATTGCGACGTATCTATAGTGCCTCATGTAGTAATCTCGGTAGTGATTGTGAGTAGTCGCACTTTCACTTTCAATGGGACGGTAAGAGGTTTCCTGTGGAGTAACAAGTTGGAGTACAGGCCAACATGATTAGATTTGCCTTTCCAAGGTGTAATGTATGTACAAAAAGGTGCGACCAATTTCTCCAGCAACAGCATTTGAGAACGAGGTCTTGCTTATCTCATTCAAGCGTTTCCACTTTGTATAGATGAAGCGTTCGTGACTACACCCGGATCCGAAGTCGGTGGCTGGCTCAGAGAGGAGTGACTGCCGATATCAAACGGCGAACAGGACGTGCTTTGCGTTGCTAATTGGCACGAGGAGAAGGAGATAAGCACATGCACTGAATGGACTGTTACGATGATGATGCTACCACTTAGTTTAGTTAGGCACAATAAGCCATATCACGTAGAAAGTTTGGAGCCTTAGCAGGATCGTTGCACTAATGCTTACTAGGAGCTAGCACCTTCGGCCTCTACTCGCCGCCCTTCTCGCTCTGAACCGCTTACCTGCATAATACCCAATGACGGCATGTGTCGAATACATTGATGGAAGAACGAATCTGTCTCGAGCAGATGTACTCCTATGCGTACTCGCAGTAAACCTATGTCCAGAATTGTCCAGGGTCAAATCTGATAGCTGAAGATGGCTCAGCGACCAGACCTCCATGAAATGCGGTCTTTACGACGTCTATTTTAGATCAAGAGGTACTCCTCCTTCTCTCTTTCTGTTTGCTTATTACTTGACACACCAGCACAAAAGCCACCAGATTCTGTGATCCGATAACGGGTGAAGAGTGGATCAAGTAAAGATGATTTTGAAGCCATGGACTGCAAAACGAATATTCTACGGTTCTCATCACATATTGCAGTCATTATTGCAGGTACCGTTTAGTCATCGATTCTACTGACAACAAGAGGTACCTGTCTATCACGATAGCGAGTGTACCAACCCCACGACTCCATCGTCTCAAATCCAGCAGCAGAAAAAGCGCTTTTTAGCCTCACTACAAAACGGTCATTTATTTCATCGCTGCACAATTCCTTCCTCGCGTGGCATGTTCCAGTCCGAAGCGTTCTGCTCCGACCGTGGGCTCGGCAAAGTGGCGCTGGCGGCTCTTGCACTTGGCGTGTTCATGACCTCCCACGTCTCTTTGCTACTGTACGCCGACTTCGTAGCGCTGCCAGACCCTTCCATCGGCCCGACAGCTGGTTTGCGCTGGCGATGCCTGGAACAATGGGGTTTCTACGCACTGGCTCTAGGGTTTTTCCATTTGATGGAGTTTCTCCTGACTGCTGCTTATCGGCCGACGAAAGTTAGTTACGAATGTACGTGGTACAAAAACAGCAACCCTTAATTAGGGGTTACATGGTCCAGGCGGTTACGGCGTTGGACTACCGTCGACTACTTTGATTACGTTCCTTTTTTTGCTGGAATATCGGGTGTGCTGATTTGTTCTTATTTCATGTTGTCTTGTACGCTGTATGTAGCTTTCCTGCTGAATCATAGTCGGGAGTACCACTTGGCTTTACTATTGAGCTGCCTGGAGTTTTGGCTCGAGTTGTGTTTCGTGCCAGGGTGGAAACTGCATCCACTCGTGCGTCCCGTGGGATTGACTCTAGTTGTCATCGGCCAGTTCTTCCGAATGGCGGCCATGAGCACTGCAGCCAACAACTTCTCACATCGAATTGAGTATTTCAAACGGAAAGAGCACGAGCTCGTGACCAATGGAGTGTACCGCTTTATTCGTCACCCGAGCTACTTGGGCTGGTTCTGGTGGATCGTAGGCAGTCAGATCTTGTTGGCAAATCCGATATGTGCGGTAGGTTACACTGTGGTGGCCTGGAGCTTTTTCCACGACCGCATTCCGTACGTTGTTGCATGCTTCGTAACTTTACGGGTGTTTGTTTTGTTTGCTGGAGGGTTTATGGTTGTGATGTCTTATTTTATGTATTGGTGCTGCCAGGTATGAGGAGCGATTACTACTTGGTTTCTTTCCAGATGAGTATCCAGCGTACAAGGCGCGTACGTTCAGCGGTATTCCTTTTGTGGGGGAAAGTGCTGTCCACTGTTGCAAGGTTTCATGAATGCGGCAAAAGACGGTAGTTACTTGCTACACGATAGACGAACATTGCAGGAACGTAGACGAGGCTTGCACAGTACTGGCTGCATTCCATACCTTTGTTCTATTTCTCGTTCTTGCCCCTAATTGAGGATGTACTTGGTGTCGACCTTTGAGATCGCAGAGTAGATGAAGTCGTGGCTCGTGGCAGTTGGAGACCTGTTTGCACTATGCCCAATTCGTTTTCGTGTTAGATGTTCCATCCAGATTGCCCACAGAAAGTGTACAACACCTACCGTAATTGCTGTCAATGTTGCCCATAGCTCCCTGGCTACTCCACTGCTTGTGCACAGTACTGAGCCTCACGTAGTCACTGTACTCCAAATCAGCCACGAGTCGGATCTTCCGCAGCACTTCGTGTTCGAACATTGCCAGCACCGTCTCCATCCACTCCTGCAGCTGCAAGGGAAAAGCCACCGCTGCGACTTGGTCGTCCTCGCTGACCGCACTTTCTCTGAGTGCGTCATCCACGAGCGTCACACAGTCGCTCGCAAAAGACCGAAGATGACGCAGCACCTCTTGGTAGTCGTGCATGATATCAGTCAAGAACCCCCGACTCTTTTCCAGAGCCAAAACGTGTTTCTGAAGCAATAAAGTTTCAGTATCACGGACATCGCTCAACACGCCCATTACGTCCGAAACGTCATTGTCTTGTCCGTTGGCATTGCCGGATGATTGTAACAGAATCGGTATTCGCTGACTCAAATTAGCAAGTGATGAAAGCACCTGAGACCCCTCTGACTCGAGCTTTGCACTGCGAGCTATCTGCACCATTCATTCTCAAAGAGATTAGTGACTGACTTTGGAAGAATAGAGAGAAATTGCGCATGTAGCGAGGTTTCTATCCAGTTTAATATCGACATTTACAGCACAGAAAGTGGCGACGGACCTCGGCTACGAAAAGCTTGTGCAACTTGAGGCACTTTTGGAGCGCCGTTTTCGCCATCGATGTGATGATTAGGATCGAGGAGTTATGGAAACCCGCGTTGGTGCCTCAATACGAGATCTGATGTCGCAGTCTTGTGGCCAAACTAGATTGAGCGACAGTGTCAAAAGCGAACCTTGAGATTACGGAACGGAACGTTTATCAATCGTGCTTTGTTTCATAATTTAAAAAAAGGTACTGACATGAGTGAAAGATTGAGCAAATTGATACAAGAGCCCGTACGAAGTGCACACGGTTGTGCTTGTGTAAAATGATAATATGAGCGTCCACGTTCCTGATTAGTTTAGAGAAACTAAGATAGGGGAGCAAGCTCTGGAGCTCGCCACTTGATATATGTTTCAGTTCGGGATATTGAATCAAGTTGCAAAAAACTATACAACAGCAGCAGTCACGGAAGAAAGAGTACGATGCTGTGAATGTATGCATTAACATAATTTTGTATATGTTTGCACTTAAGAGTGCTGAGACGAGCTCACAACGAAGCAAGTGGAAGAAGTGAATGGTCACGATGTAGCTGAAACAAAACTGAAATAAGTTATCGAAATGTTGCCAGCTTTTGCTCTCCCTCATTGTATGCTTATCACAGCAAATGTATCACCCGCAGGTCTTTGTCCGCCATCAGTAGCACAAGAGCCAGAGTGCCATATGACTCATACTATACACTGCCTGTCATGATATCCACTGACTTCCAGCAGTATACTAGGGCCACGCTATCGGCCTTCGCTTATGCCTCCCCCAGCACTTGCTTATGTGATCATATTCACCTTTGATCGATTCTAAGCCAATCAGGTGCATGTATTGCAATATTGACCTAGCCATAGAGTCACACCAATCATGCTGATCGGCCTGTAAGGGGGCTCAGACTAGATCGTATTTAGTTCGAGTCAGGTACACACAACCGCGTTATTTACAGACAGACAACAGATAAGTACGATTTAAAAGCTCGGCATTCAACCTTGCGCACAGTCGCTATGCATGCTTACTACTCCTCTTCATCTTCAAGCTAGCGCTCTTCCATACTACGAGGTATCACAGTAACGTTTCGCATTCAAATGAAGAAGAAGTCGCTAAAGCGAGTTAGCAGCAACACTAAGGTCTGACAAAAGTAGACCTTGGTCAACAGATTTTTATGCTGTTTTTTGTGTAAATTTACAGAAGCTCACGCGCAACCTGTAAATTTCGTCAGACAAGAAAGCTAAACGGATTATACAGGATCTCGTTTGCACCAAATGAAAATGTTGACAGAGATTTCCAATAGATCCATGTTTCCTCATCAAGAAAGAAGCTACTGCATATTTATGAAGACTGCTAAACTGATTCCGCTTCGTAGATAAGTTCTACCCGTCTTATGTATCACATAGGCTCAAGACAGATTGACACAGTAGGTATACATGTGTGTGATGAAAGCACTGTCATCCTCGGCGTAAGAAGTTAATATAAAGTTAGACATAATAGTCAACATCAAAGTCTTAAGTCACCGAAAGCACACCAGAATGTAAAATGTGAAGGAGTGCGGAGCAGCATACTCATGTCGCGATGTAGTCGATAATAAAGTAAACATTACTGTGGTATTGATACAAAAGTGATACTGGCCATCGGCCGTCTACAAAGTGAAGAAGATATTCAGATAAATATGTCGGTACACAAGTCCATAGTATCGCTTGGAAAGCCTGGCTATACCTTGCGAAGATTGTTTTCCCTTCGAAACGGTGGTTACGTTATTACGTGTGGGTTTATGTAGATGCTGTCAAATGCCAACAACACATTGAGATTAGTGGAATAAGAAATGGTAGTGATTCAATATCAACACCTTCGCACTCACTCCTTCTTTCAGGTGATGTTACCGCAGACGTTTGCCTTCGGTAAATCATACGCATCTATTCCCTTGAGATCAGCGTGCGACATCTACCTGTATGTTTCAAGTTTTCTCTTTGGTGAAAGCTTATCGACGATGTTCTCATGTGCGCTTTTTACAAGCGACATGCCTTTGCTAGGCTGCTCTTACGCTGCTAGCACGGCAAGTCTGACTTTGGCCTCCCTCGCATCCTCCTACACGTCTTTGTTGAGACTTCTGGCTGAGTGCATAATGCTAAGACAAGTTTGCGTGCGCAAGCAGCTTCTTCGTGTTGCTGCTGAAACCCAGCACCAGCATGACAAATTACTGTAGTTGGTCTTTAAACTGTGTAAAGTTGTTGCGTTGACCACGCTCGCTAGTCCTTAGCCTCCTCTACGACGTCATTGTCAAACCATTCGCCGATCGGGGTCCCATGCATCGTCTATAACGATGACAACAGCATTCCATATAGACTTTAGTAAGGGTAGGATACCATGGTCAGGCGTTTTTAACAAATTCAGGTCCATCCATCGTCTTTGCTCTCGTAGGACTATCCAGAGCTCCACGTACTTGCTATAGGGAGTGAGTGAGCTGCATGGATGTAGCACGACTGCCCAAAGACGACCGAGACGACCAGTATAGAACCAGAAACGTTGTCGACGATGTCGGGTATAGGGACAATGAGCTCGAAGGTTTCAGCTGTGGCGGTTAACTGCTTCGTGCCTATTATGCTCATGTTGTCAAGCGAACGCTCTCTCCATCATCTCAGCTTTCCAGCTGAGACGATATCCTCTACATCAGCGAAATGAGAACTGTTGTGGCTGTAGTTGGTTGATATGACCCTCGTCCCAAAGTTCTCGTAGACAAACGTGTTTCGCTTGAACTTTCCTGCTGATGCGTAGAGTCCTTGTAATTGCTGAAAGCAATGGGTTGGAGACTTCAGCATGTGTACCAACGATCGCTTCACGAACAACAAAAATCGCGTCCAGAATCGGAGCTAGGACCACAATCGACGTCAAACGACATAGTACATACGCCATGGAGGTGCCCACAAACCGATTGTTTGCCATTTCTGAATTTCTTGCAATGCAGAAACGTCCACACGTTGGGCGCATTCCAGCTCCCGTCTTGCTACTGGTTGTTACACTACTAACTCTTACAGCATTCGTCCAGTCACTTCATCCGCTCGATGCTTTTACGCAAAGTCCAAGAAGACCGTGAGTGCTCTAGACAAAGTGGCAACTTCAGACGATAAGGATCTGTCTTTGACTATGGACAAAACCCGGCGAGAATGGAATATAACTAGATGATGGTGCTACTGCATGACATTGGTCACGGCTTTGGTCTGCCGGAAATGTACAAGGTGAGAACAAACCCAGTAGCTTTCCAGCCTGTGTAATGGATGACGACGACAAGGTTACAGAATGGAGATGGCTGGTTCCTACGAAGCATTCTCGAGAACAGCAGGTCTCGCTACAATCTTTGAGCAGTATTTTTTCTTGTCGACCTTCTTGCTGTGGGTAGTGCGTGTCAGGTTTGACGAATCGGTAGATGTTGGTGCTTCCAGTCGTTATTGTTCATGGTATGAAGCTTGTCGATTGATTGCCATAAACTACTGGTGTGCTTGGGAAGTTGCTGTCGATTTGACTATTTGTACTTCTCACAGATAGCGAAGTCTGTGATGATAAAAGAATGTTAGTGTTAATGAGCAGTGCTATTCGATAAGGACGAGTGTATTGATACGGAGTAGATGGGTTCGCAAAGTTCGCACAGTGCACGTAGGACGATTGGACTCATCCAGTGAATGTCTTTACTTGCTCAACTGCGATTGCACCTTTTTTAGAATGTAGCTTGCCATTTTCCCTGGCATTGCATGACACTTCAAATGAGTCAGTCCTCTGCGACGACGACGTCCGGTATCCACTACATAAAGATCCGTTACTTATGTTTGCACGTTGTTTTGCTCGCATTAGACACGTACTAGTCAGCCTTGAGATCAGCACAAGCCCGTCGATGTAAACGAAAACCATAACTCCCCGTATGCAGAGATCGAGTTACCATCTCTATGCCAAACTTTCGGCAACGTCTGATGTAGAGATTGTGAATTGCAGCACGAGCATTCCGACCTCTTGCAATCAAGCTTAGTTCGCCTTGCTGAACCGAGATTGTCGTCAAGTTCTTTCCTCAAACCATCACGTCCGAATCGAAAACGTTTCCTGTTTGATTGGAAATGACGTTCCGGCGAGGTTCAGCTTCTTGGTGAGCACCACAAGTCACTTACTCGGCCTGTTCGCGAGTCTACTCGCTTTTTGAGCCATCTTTTACATCAAGCACTGACGCTCATTGCTCCTGCACGTCAGGACTAACATCCACTTCTTCAACATCATGGCTCTTTGCACCCACTTCGTCAACGTCCACATCCTCCTGCATGTTTTCTTTTTGTACCGGTGTTCCTTCAATTTGCTCCATTTGACATCGCTCGGCAGCCGCATAGAAGTCGTGGTCGTCTTGAGTTGCAGCTTCAACAAAAGCATCGATTTGATCACCTTCTGTACCCTGTGCGTTCGACTCGGCCCTTGTCGCGTCGCTGCCGGATGTCTCTTCATTGACCTGTCGATCATTAGCTGCGGGTTCTGCACCAAAACTTGTAACAGCAGTTTCAACGAACGGCATCTCTGTAAGCTCTGCCTCCTCCTTAGCGTCCCCGTACTCCATTTGGTCGGCAGCATCTGCTGCCACTTGGCGCTCGATATCTGCAAGTTTCTCTACGTCACGTGTAGCTACGTTGACGTGCATCACATCTGACAGTTGTGGCTCTCTGCTGCGCAACTGTTCCTCATCCTCTTTGCATATCATGTCCGACAAGAGTCCACTTTCTTGGTCTACTACCTCTCCAGCTAGTTTCAGTAACAAGTGCTCTTCCTCTGGCAGACCATCTGCAGAATTGAATAGCTTCGTGGTTTCGAGACTTGCAATCTGAACCAGAGTATCCACAAACTCTTCTTTGTTATTGTCGCTGAGAAAATGCACTAGAGCTGCGACAATGCGACCATCACGCGCCTTCACCATCTGCACTAGAAGCTCTACCCCGCTGTGCGGCAACATACCACTTTGTGCCAAAGGACGGATCCAATCGTGCACTAATACGCGGCGGTGGCGCTCCCAAGCTACCAACTCGACCAAAATTCGAAGTGTGTCTACGAGTTCATTCGTGTCCTGATCCTCATGATACACGTCAATGGCCGCAAAAAAGCGCGGGTCGCGACACTTTAGTAACGACATCGACAACTGGATCTGCCACAATTCAAGAAGTCCACTCCTTCCAAGATCTGCCAAAATCCGGCACGTAGCTTGGACTTCAGCAGCCGAGCTAGTCTCTTCTTCCTCGCATCCAGAGCGTGCATGCTTCACCACCAATAACAAAGTGTCCTCCAACTCATGAACATCGCCATCTGCTTGGAACGCCTCATTAGCAGCTCGAAGAGCTTCATTACCACTATGAAACAACACCAACAGTCCAGCAGCATCACCATTCTTCACCAGACCACGACGTTGCATCTCTTGTACGACATCTTCAAGGCTCACCAGGCTGCTCAAAGGTGCACCAGCCACACCGTTCTGCCCAACTTGGCTTTGCTCAATCAACCGCTGCAGTTTAGCCACCCGTTGCAGTGTATCCAAGAGCTCGCTAGCATCCCCGTCACCTGCAAACACTTCGTACGCACTTTCCAACAAATTATGTCGTTGGTTCACCATGTTTTGCAGCGTCGACACATCAGCCAGTGTAAGGTGTTGCTCAACTTGCCATTGGCGAAGCAGAAAGTACAAATGGTGCTGCCAACCCAGCGAGTCGTCGTTGTTATCTTCGCTGTCAGCCCATTCACTCTCTTCTCGAACAGCGTCGCCTAGACCACGCGCAAAAGCCGCCGCTGCTTTTTCTTCATCACCAAGTTCCATCGTAATATCTTCGACGATACTCACGAGCGCATCTCTCAGCCCAGTTACATCCCGATCAGCACTCTGTTCGTAAACACGAAGCACCTGCAGCACCTGCGAATCGTCCTGGTCCACTAAAGCTTCAATAATATCAAGCTCCAAGCTCGTCAGCATCTGAAGCGTATGCAAAGCCTGAACGATTGACTTGCACGACGACTGCGGCTGATCCACCGCGTCTTCCTCGTTATGTACGCCAACAAAAGCACGATCGGGCGTTCTTGTAGCAATCTCACGCTCTTTCGTCCACTTGGTCCTAGAACTTGGCTGCGATGTAGCCATTTGCTTGGCAGGTTGAGTCATCCCGTCGCTTTTCGTGCTGCCGTTACGACCGACTTGAGTCGCTATTGCAGCTGCTTTGGTACTTATGTGGTCCACCTTACTATCGGTTTCGTCGCTTTTTTCGGAATGTAGCCATGTCGTGTCCGACGTTGCAAATGCTTGTGAAACAGCTGGAACTGGCGCAAACAGAGCTGAGACAGGGCCGACCAGTTGTTCCGGTGCGCGACTCGCGACCGACAGTGGGACAAGGCGCGAAAGCACGTGCGGCGAACGTTCCGGCCGTCTGGACGACGAGGCTTGGGCGGGGACGTGGAAGCCCGTACACGCGCGATCGTAGTGATTGAGCGCGGCAGACACGAGCAACTGAAGCTCGAGGGTCGGTATACCAGCGTATAGCGCGATGGTCGCTCGCGACGACGCGTCGTGGAGTTTGACGTACGTGACGTCGTGGGTGGCCATGAGGGTGAAAAGACTTGGATATTGTATGTGGCTGTGGGGCGAGGGGGTTTGGTGAAAATCCGAATTTTGAAAAGAAAAAATTAGAATTTGAAAAGGAGCAGGGACGTGTCGGATGTATAAATGCGTATAGCGCGTATACTGAACTGCACGATACTAACACAATTCAAACCACAATTAGAAACGCTTGAGCCTTGGGAACGGGTGAATTTTCGCTTTGACTGTGGGTGGAATTGTTGGTATATTTGGGTTCAGCTCAGTGACGAGCCACTTTGATTCGACAAGGAGCTCGAGACAAGAAGTAAAGCTGCATGACACTCGTACAGTAATAACACGGAACACATTGTGGTTATACCAGCGTCTGAGATTACCAAAGCCGCTACATCCGGTCTCTACCTTGCGATTTCGCACGGGCTTGCTAACGCAAAAGTAGTGTAAACACGCCTCAGCGACAAAATTTAAAGTCGCCAATGGCACTCGAGCACTATCGACAAGAATGCTCACAGTCGGTACTGTCATCACAACGACACATCCGGAGATCATTTCGACCGATTTTTGCGAGCAAGGTATAGGCAGCTAGAATGTAGAGGTGAACTGATGAGAGAGCAAAAGTTGCTGGCTGAATGTGCGGTTTGTACACTTGCGCACTATAAGGCTGGTGACGTCTCCGGCTGGCATTGAATCCATCATCGTAGAATGAAGTTCTTGCTAAAAAAGGAAGTGTGTATTGAATAGAAGACGGAGAATGTGTTTATGTGATGCGCTTAGCAGTAGACGCAGACGCTGAACAAGAACGAATGACAAGCTGCTAGCTCCCTATATTGTCGTTAAGGCTGCCCTTAGCAAGCTCTTAACGAGATTGTACAGATGCGCAAAGGGATATAATAGTGTAGATGAGTCAACCCGTTCTAATCATCTTTTTTGTAGGTGGTGCAATGGGTACATTTAGTATCCCCAACGACCGACGTCTGCCCTCTTCGGCGGGGCCTACACATCCCCATCCGGATGGCCACTACTAACTGGATTCTATGGGGGCGAGTCAGTCGAGGGCCCCCTACTATTTCGATGTCGGGGGTTTAAATCTTCTACGAGAAGCCGAGCTCAGTGGTACCGGGGTTCCCGGGTGGTAAAACTGAGACTTATGCGTCACACCTTTTGTACCGTCCTTGGGTTGGCCGTTAGAGCGATCGAATGGGCGATCATTGCATTAGAACGGCGGTGCTTGCATAAGGGGGACCCTGTGTCAAAAAATCAATGCGGAGACTTTTAGGACATGACTTGGGGGGAGGCGACACATTGTTGCCATTGTGAGAGCGGAGAGAAAAAGGCTGGACCACGGTTGTGCCGTTGATGAAGGACCTGGCTGACAAGCTTCATGAACCCTTTACGCTGCACCACGAGCGCTATTTCTTCACTTCAGGTGCCTGTTCGAAACATGACTAAAATGCACCCATCGATAACGACAAGGTTACGCACTACATGCGGTACTATGAGCTCAAAATGTTCAATCTTTGAAGATTTTATACCGTGCTCGGCTTAGTTATCAGTAGCAAGTTCAGTGACCAATCGCTACTGAAGCGCGTGCGTCAGGACGATCGATATGAGTTCGTGAATGAATAGATGGTGCCGTCTGAGTCAATATGCGTAGGTGTCACCGAGATACAACGGTCGCTTGAGTTATCTTCACAGCATCGTATGTGGTATCAGCGTTCTTTGACAGGCAGCTGCATGACAGTTTTATCGATTGCACCGCAGTGGTCTTCTGTAAACTCGACCAGCACCTTATGTTGAGGTGTTGTGCATCCCAAGAAGCAATTTAGAGTTTCTTCTCCTGTCTAAGGAGAGTGTGAGCCTTCTTCCGTCTCTATACGAATGTGGCGAAGGAGGTGTACAATGCAGCATCACGTTCACAAAATGTGAAAAGGCTTTAGACGTCCATCATAAACTTCAGATGAGACGCTATCGGTGACAAGAAGAGGAAGATCATGATACAGAGACTCTACAATAGACTTCACGAGATACACATCTTTGCCAAGTAGCTGACCATACATAGCTCTGCACACCGTGGGCAACTACTGGCATCGAAGTATACACCAAGCATGACAAGAGCAGCTGCGTTATCTCTGGAAGTGTCAGCTCTGATTAAGATCACCTCAACTTGTTAAGGGTGGAAAGCGTGAGAACGAGCTTCCCTAAATGTAGTATTTCTTGTTGTAAAAAGAGACGCCTCGGCATGACGTTTTAGAAATGTGTTCTGTAGCTCAGCCGGTTCGGTATGGCAGTACCATCCCAGAGATCGCTGGTTTGATACCGGTCGGGGCTTGCAGGCAAAAAGTTAAGCCTTCGGGTCCTGGTGTTTGGGTTTACCACCACCCACTCTGCCAGGCAGTGACGCCCCCCACTTTCGGTACGTTACGGTGTTTAGAAACGTATGGCCATTATAATAAAGGTACGATCATAATTAGAAACGTACGACTAGACGATTTGTAATGCGCGATGTAGGACTACTATTGCGTGATATAGCAATTAGGAACGCATAATCGAAGAATCCGGTAGGCTGATTGTAGCAACAGAGGTTGCGATATCAGGACCTAAGTATGTTCACTTTGCATTTTGCTATTTTTCACTAGCACCGATCACTTCTTTTACTTCTTTCGATAGGGGAGCAGGCTCTGGAGCTCGCCCCTTGATTTAAGTAATTGAGTGCATAGCACTGAATCATGTTGAAAAAGACTATACAATACTAGTCACTGAATCATGAGTGTGATGCTGTAAATGTCTGTATTTAATCCAGTATAATTGGCTAGGGCAACGCGATCGGCCTTTGCTAAAGAGCGTCCAGCACTTGCTTATGTGATCATATTCACCTTTGATCGATCCTAAGCCAATCAGGTGCGTGCATCACAATGTTTTCCTAGCCATAGGCGGCAACCTTTCATGCTAATCGACCTATGAGAAGAGGACAGGCTAGATCGTATTGAGTACGAGTAAGGAACACATAACCGTGTTAACTACAGATAGACAGGCAGATAAGTACGATTATAAGTTCGGCATTCAACTTTGCGCACAGTCACTAAACGCTTCACTCTCTAAGCTTGCAGCTAATATCGCATGATAATAGTACAGGAGTTATCGTACCTCTTATCGATGCAGAAAGAGTTTGTCAATCACTTTCTAGGTTCTCAAAGTCTTTTTGCAACGATGCAGGGGCGATTGCATCCCCTCTTCCGTTCTGGTAAAGCAATCGCTTGTCCACGTCTTTCACGTGAAACATGTGCTGAGCAGGCACGACCCTTTCGAACTTACAAGCGATGGCCAAACTTACGATCTCGGCCTTGACAGCGAGAAGTTTCACCAATGACTCACGTCTGAGGATGAGTCGATGTGAACTAAACAGCGAATGCACATGAAGAGTGAGCACTCACTGTCATGTTGGGAGCTCGATAGACTGGTGCGTTCACCCGCACTGGTAAGCAACAATGCTGATAGTACATGGGGAAGTTGAACGGATCAGTTCCGTGTCAAGATCGACGTTCGAATCGACGTCTTGGCACGTCTTACACGAATGAATAGACAACTTGGTGTCGTCAAGTAAGGCACTACATATCACGCCTCTGCACACTTCGCAATGAGATATTAATCAAGGCGGCACCGTCCGCCTTTGCACGACGTAAGATCATTGACAGTCTTCGTAGCAATGCGACATCAGTCATGGAGCTAGCGTACTTCTGACTTCGTACGTCGCCAATTTCACTTAATCGATATGACATTATACGAGTAGTTTACCCCTCTGCACAGGTCATTTTTACCCATGAAGCAGTGCACAGCAGATTGCAGGAAAGTATGACGAGCTGATTCGTGGACCTTGTCTCTCATTACAGCACTGGTGCGTTCAGCATATCCAAGGTTCGACGGATCACGCCGTTCTCGCGCAGGAGTATTTCAAGCGTCACTTTGAATGATTTTGTCGGCAGCGCGATCCGACATCACAGGAACAGAGCGAAGATTCAGCAACAAATTCGTGACTCAGAGCTACGCAAAGTCTGTGCAATGTTAACAGCCCGCTTTGTGTGCAAGACGCGCAACCTTAACAATTCAAGGAGCGACCACTCATTTGACAGGTGTAGCAACAGTCAAGCACGAACTGGTAGCTGCAGGCATAGACAGACACAGAACGTAGGGACAAAATCGGCGCCGCGTGTGGGGTGTGTAGAGTAAGTAGTATTGAGATTCATATTCATTCAAGTGACCCAGCACAAAGCACAATACGATACTGAATCAACGTTACATGTAAGGCTACGAGGTCACGGGAGCCCATAGAAGTCTCGCTTTTGTTTTTGCTTGGTCAAAGACAAAGTGCCCGAAGCACTTTGTGCTGGCCACGTCCTGAGCGTTTGACGTTTCCGCTGCGTCAAAGCAGCGATACGCTTCTCATTGGCCTCCTTGGCTTCGCGTAATTGAGTCTCGAGGTTGTTGTAATATGTGCTCAAGAAATGGTGAGTTTCGTCCAGGTATCGTCGATAGAAATCGAAATTTGGTTGGCCCATGCACTCACGTCTATTTTGATGTAGATTCAACCTGCTCTGGACATACCACGGCTTTCTCTTTGCCAACTTCCAGATCTCCACCTTCGCGTTCAACTCTTCTTTCCCCTCCCTCTCATCCCACTTCTTTACTCCATCGTCGTCCATCCTCTTCCAGATGCTGTCATCCTCGATCATTAAATACTGCTTGTACAGCTTGAAATCTTCCGAGTGTTCCAGAAGTTCCGGTGAGACTTTGTGTAGCTGGAGCTCCTCCCATACGTCGTGTGCCATACGCCCTTTAGAACTCCAACCGTCCAACAATCGCGAATCACGAATTTTTTTATACAGTTTGTAGTTCTTATGAGTCGTGAGACCGGTTTCTGTCAGCCCCTTCATCCCCAGCATCTCCCTGATCTCTTCATCGCTTTTTCCAAGTGCACTCCACAGCTTTGTCTTGAACCATAACAAATCTGGCTCGAACCAAGTCCTGTCTTCCTCAACCGTCGGAGCAGCCAGTCGTAGCGACTTCGCGCTGTTGGAAGGATCACTGTCGCTAGCGGTGGCTGGACCATCGAGCAAAGCTGTCGTCGAACTTTGAGATCGGCTGCTAGTAGCAGGCAGAATGAGCGCAGCAACCGCAAGGTGAGTGAGGGTTTTTTTCATGGTTGAGAGCTCGGATCGAGGAGGCAAGTTGCGAAGTGTGGCTGCGTTTCGTCGGTGCTTATTGTACGACACAACGGGACCAGATAAACCAGATCCTGGTCACGGGATGAGCGACTCCTGTCTTTCTGCATGGTAGTGCAGAATGGACTGGTTGAAACATGGTCGGTGTAGAGAAGCTGACGTCGGGCGTACCGAGCGGCTGACTCTTTGAGCAAGCAGTTGACTCAACTACTGGCACAAGTCAAGACTATCTTCCGCCTCGTGGATGCTTATCATCCTTAAGTATCTTCATGCTCGCCCTGGTGAGGCTTCTAGCAGCCATCAGCACGCTCGGACCTCAAAAAGGCAGGAAGGGGATTGGCGAGTGCGGTCGTTTGGCGCCTATGATGGAAAAGGTCGGCTATCGTCCGTAGCCCAAACTGTCCGACAATGTGGCTGTCTCTTCAGACATTTGAGACAGATTCTCGTAAGTAGCGAGCTTACTGGTCTTAAACGGAGTCATCCAGTCTTCTTTTACCAGAGAGCTCGGCAAGTTCAGCTTGGCATTGAAGCTATTCGAGCTCGACGAGCCTGCAAGCTTGCGCTACTGATGGAGTCGGCTGCCATTCACGGTACGCAGCAGCGAGTTTGTTTCAGATACTGGTGGACCGTACGTGCAGTGCTACTGCGACTCGCTTCCGATTTGTGGGCTGGTCGCATGGATGTTTCTACGAAGTCAGCTCTTGATCATGAGGATACACCACCGGCTCTTGCGATGCCTCGACTGCGATGGCGCTACAAAGGAGATTCGCAGCTTCCTGGAAGAACGTTTTCGCCGCATTGACGGTTTGAGAGAGAACAAGTTCCTACTGACGAGGGGAGCCATATACGGACAACCGCTTGTGATCCATTACGATGCAACTGATGCGACGAGTCGAGGAGGCATCGTATTGTCTCCTGTACAGTCATTGAGATCAGTCCTCGTGCTGAAACTACAAGAGCCATAACCTTGGCGTGGTTGCGCTCTCATCACACATGTACAGTCGTTGTTGTTGTTGACGGATGGTCTATTTACACGGGATTGACTACCTATGTGCAAGATCCCTGATACAGTCGTAGCCAAGCAGGCAGCGCCGGTGGCTCCGGAGGCAGGTCAGGGACCTCCTTCAACTCGCCTGGCAACCCGCATGGGTTGTGCTCGAGTAACTCACTCAATACATGCAAACAGCATGGCACCATGGATAGCCAACGACATCTTTTGATGCTCTCCGACATCGCGGCCTGATCAACCGCGTCGTTCCTATCCGCCCACAGCCGGGTTTGACACAGCGTTGCGAAAAATGTGCCAGATGCGCCGCCACATCCGTTCCGCTACTTCTCCATCCTCTGGGAAACGGTTCGCAAGGAAGGCCTTGCAATACACGGGTATGTTAACGACACGTCTGCTTGCGCTCGCATCAAAGAAGTAATGGGTCCGCCGTTGCAATGGCCACTCGTCCGTCCAGTGACCGATCAGCGTTTCCCACAGTGCTATGACATAGATGACAGTCCCAAAACACGTGCGCCAACGTCTCCTCTTTCCCCCGACAACCCGGTTAAAGCGATTCGACGTAGTGTCTGGGACTGCCCAAGGAAATCGATGAAGCTCTGGGCGGGCCTCATAAACGAGGCCGTGTCCCCGCAGGTTGCGGCGTAAATCTTGGCTGTCATCTATTGACGAGCACCGGGATGGCCCCCGCACACATCCAGTGGACGCCGCCGTCCCCTTATTGCAGCGTTATGTTCTGCTGTGGATCCCGCTCGGCAGCCGGAGGTCTCTTGGCAATGACGCCACTGCCAGTCAACAACCACACATAGGTCGATGGAACGGGGGGAGCGTGATGAAGGCGCGGTGTCGACTGCTGTTGTGAACTCGTTTTGACGGCGATGGCTGGCGAGGTGAGCAAAATGACGGTGGTTCACCGCTGAAGCTTGGCCGCAGGGCGATGCTTGCATCGGTGAGCAGGCCGCGGTATCGTCAGAACGAACTCCACTGGACCCGTACGTTCCAGACTCAATGAGTCAAGTGGGCAGGCCTCAATCCGCTCAAACGAGGCCTTGGCGAGCATGTTGCCGCCGCGGTCACGATCCCAGGGGTTGTCCGATCAATTTAACATGGACCAAAACTTGAGAAAGCTTCCGGCATGTCACCGGTGCCTAGCAATCGGTCCGGAAGCGGTGAGGTATACGAGAGAACGAAAGCGCGCATGTACAGTCGTGCCATTACGTTCAGAGAGACCTCACGAATCCAGGGTCAAGGAAGCGTTTACCGCTGGACTTGGCTACTGTTTTCTACATGACAAAGGCAACAGCAAGCTCGATGGACAGGCTTTTGCTTTGGATAATGCGTATAATGTAGCATCGGACTTCGGCGTACAGACCACCGGGCTGGAGGCTGAAGGCGGATATGAGTTCAACTTGCTCGAGCTTCTAACATGGAGCACTTGTACGTGCTTGGAAATGCTTTGGAGTCAGCTCGTCTTCGTGCGAAAGTCCAACTACAGTGACACTGGAAGGCTAACGACATCCGTCTCGCACTTCGTAGCATCGTCTTGTCGGTAGACTTGGCGTGACATGGCGCAGCAATCTTCGTGCTTGCTCGATCGGCAGCGCTGCCCACATCCGCGGCAGTGTGATCTTTTGTGTCTTGATTGTCAACACATTCGCTACTGGCACAACGTGAGACGCCCGGATCTTTCACACCGGTCGCTTCCCGATGATGCTCGTTGAAATGAAGGACCGCTACGGACTCATTTACGCTGCGCTTGCTCGAGTTTGCTGAATAAAATGCGGCCACGTTCGCCTAGGAGAGCCAACTTTAGTTGAAGAGCTGCGACGACTTACTCGTCCAGCTCACTCGAGCTCATGAGCGGCGACCTCGTCGCGAGGTGGACGCTGACGCAAAAATCCGTCTCTGCTGAGCCATTACCACGTCTTGCAGCAGTCGTTACGGCGTCTATTCTTTCCTGCATCTAGTGTAACTACCTGGTCGTAGATGGTGTCTACACGCTCATTACCTTGACGTGATCGTGCTGATGCTATCTGTGGCTCTAGGAAGCCAAGACGTGTTCTCTTTGGACGGCCGTCGTGTTGGCTGCTCTGATCTCCTACGCTATCTGTTGCAGTGAGGTGCTGCGCTGCAGTTCAGCGTAAATACACGAGCACATTGTAAAAGCTAGCGGTCGTGTACTCATCGTGTCGCGTCAGTCAGAACGACGTTTGTCAATCTTCTCTGCTTGACATGGAGCAAAGAATCACACGTGGCTCGAGCTCTCCTTTTGTTGAAGCGTCGACAGCTGTCGATCATGCGACCGTCGTCTCACCCGAGTGACGACTTGAATGAATAGCGGAGACTCTGCACGTCGGCTGGATGTTGTGGAGTCGTCCTACGACCAAACAACTATTGGCATGAGGTTGTCGAAGCCGCAGCACACACGAGTGGAGATCCGAAACTGACCAACTACTTTGCAATTTGCGACTATCTCTCGACGTCCGGCCGTCTACTTTGCTCCGGTTCTTGATTATGGTGAAGCTCGTTCTCATGGGAGCCGGTGGCAACGTCGGTGGGACTGCGGCCGACTTCATGCTTGAAGCTGCGAATCCAGAGGACCACCTCGTGTTTGCCAGCAGTAGTCTGGACAAGATCCCGGTCGACAAAGTGCTTGAGTGGCGCCGTCGAGGAGTCGACGTGGTCTCTGCCAGCTACGAGGACCGTGACAGCATGAAAAAGGCGTTCGAAGGAGCAGACGCAGTGGCCACGATCTCAACGTGGCTTATCGGAGACCGTCGTCGGAACCAGATCAAGAATGCACTTGAAGTCGCGAAGGAAATGGGCGTGAAGCGATTTTGCTACACGTCGGGCGCTGGGGCTGGAGTGGAGGCTGAGAAGGAGGAAGAGATCCCCTTTCTGCTGCGTGACCACCACTTTATCGAGCAACTGATCTATGCGTCGGGTCTTGAGTACAACATTCAACGCAACTGTCTGTACGCGGACAACATCCCCATGTACTTTGCTCCTTCCTGGAACTTCTGCGGGGACAAGTGGTTGACCAACAGTCACGGCCAGAAGGGCTGCTACGTGGCCCGCGACGATTGTGGCCGTGTCTTGGGCGCGTTGTTGCTTGGCCGGGGCGAGCCGAACACGGTGTACGAAGTGACAGGCCCCAAGAGTGTGTCGCACGAGGAGATCTTTGAGTTTATGAGCAGGACGTCGGGGTTCCAAGGGAAGCTGGTCGACATGCCGGACGAGGAATTACAGAGGTGGTGGCTCGACCGTGGTCTGCCTGAGGACGTGTACGGCGATTTCTCGCACCTTCCGATGAAGTTGTGCATCGGTGACCTGCTTTGCTCTGGTGAAATGGTAGCGAACGGCTGCATGGCATCGGCTACCGACGTGGTCGAGAAGCTCACGGGACGTCACCCGGTGAGCTGGAAGGATGCGATGCTCAAGTACAAGGACATCTTTCCAAAGTGAGCGTTGCGTACGGTAGTGTTGCGATTCGACGTGCGATTGACGGGGCAATACTTTTCGTTCCTGCGATGGCGATGGCTCTGTCCTTCCGTGTGCTTCACGGCAACTGTTGCACGTTACGGGCTGCGCCGTCAGCTTAGATAGCCATCGCTACTACTCCGCAGGTCATCGTGACGAGGTAGAGATAGTCATGTTCCGACACTACTAATAAGAACGTCTTTTCGCTTTCACTAGCTTCGAGTACAGTCCGTTGGTTGTCACCACTGGGAAGCGACGATCGATCCAACTTCTTCTCGATTTGCTGATGGGAGAGGCTGTTGTTGTACGTCTGACAACTCTTTGTCTTGGTAACGAACTAGCAACACACTGGAGACATTGCGAAACAGTACACGGGTTGATGCTGTACAAGCATCTTCGGATCTGGCTTCGGAGTCGTAACGATTTCGGCCACATGTGTTCTGGCTGTGCCAAGAGCTCTCGCTGGACTGTGAAACGCTGATCTGGATCGAGACGTGGACGGGTCTTCCACGCTTGTCACGAAACACTGCTGCATCAAGTCAACTGGCGGGAAAGTCGAGCGTCACTACAACTGAGCTCTCTGACCCGTTACGTCTCTAACGGATCGACAAAGGCACGACAAACACTCGTGGTGATGCAGCATCACGTACTGGAGAAAAGTTCATAGCGCGTCTCGCTGTTTCTTAGAGTGCAGTAGGGTGCTCATCCTACCGGTCTTGCAAACTTTGCTGCTATTCAGTCGTTTTTTCCTCGCAAGACGTTCAACTGTAACAGCAGCACCGCCCATAATGCACCAAGTTGCCTTACAACCTGCGATCTTCAGCATGACAAGCTACACACGCCGGAAAAGGTGCAGTACGTGCGATTGTGACCACGCAGTCGCCAACGTTGAGGCCACCGTTCGAGCCCTGAGCGATGTCAGGAAGACCGACGAGTTTGTCACTGCCATGACACTAAATTTCAACGTGACGCTGTCTGTGGATCGAAGCGAGAATAGAGACAACGTCTTACACTAAACTCGCTCACGTCGGCTTTCGCATCCAACGTCCACTCTGGACCGACAGCTGAAAGTTCGGGTCCGACCTCAACTCGGGGAGCTACGCGTTCGAAACGACCCGACGTCTTCCTGTACGGTCAGCATGGCATTTCGTAATGACCGATACTGAAACAGATTAACGGTTCGTTCATCTGGGAAGTCGTGCGACACATGAGTACGGCCTGTCCTCTGTCTCCACTTGGTAGGGCGTAACAATGCCATGGGTGTCATTCGATTGTGCTCGCGCGTGTATGTGTAAACGCGAGTCAGTTGAGAGAGAGGGGGCGTGTAGCTAGATCCGTTCACCTAACAGGTCGTTCCTGCATGAGACCACAATTACGCTGCGACGTCGTGTCCTGATTCGGTTTTGAGTCTACAGGTACGTCTCTCACTAGCGCATTTTGTCGTCATGCTGTTCAGCAAGATACCTGTAACGAGTACCGGTCCCTGCCTTCTTCTTCTTCTTGCTGGACTTGAACGCACAGCTGTTCATGCAACGTACTAGTCAACGTCAACGAGTGTAAGTACAGCGCATGTCCACATCTCTGTAGCTGTCAATTCGACGATTAGAGTGGCACATACGACTTCAAGTTGCACCAGAACATTGCCACCAAGCCGCATGGTCCGCCCTCAAGCAGTCCAGACCAACCGCCGTTTGTAAGCGGGAAACGGTCCACAAGACCCCTTGGTCAACGCGTCAGAAACTGCTTTCGCTGAAACGAGCGAGGGATCCCTTCAGCCGCTCGTGTTGCTGCTTGTAGCTTGCAAAGTTGTACGATAGCATCTGCGTTGAAAAAGTTGTTAATATACTGAGTCCGTGCTCTTGAACGTACGAACGTGTTACTGCATCGTATCATTTTCATAGTGTCTTTAGTACGCTGGTGCTCTTCGCGTCCAGCGTGGTCAGCCAGCCGGTTTCAGACACTTCCTTTCGCATCGCGCGGTTATTCTAGTGCTGGCCTTAAGGTGCCCACGAGGCCAGGCGATGAGGAAAAGGACGTACACAACGGATGGCGCATGTCAAGCGGAATGTTCCATGTCCAGGAATGCTTTTCGGGTCCCTTCGAGCACTGGACAGGCAGGCAGTTAAGAGGGACAGGTAGGACGCACCTCTCGGTGAACTGAAATCCATCGCCCAGAAGTCTCACATCTCAATCCTCCCACTCTCCCAAACGAGTACAACCACCACCTCTTTACATCACCATCATGATGTCCTTCCGCACATTTCTTCCGCTATCGCAGCAAAGTTTCGTCGAGATGCCGCAGCTCCTTGGTCTCAAACCCAAGCAGCAGTCGAAACCGGTGAACAAGTGTTCCCTCGACTTCATCCTCTCGAAAGACGAGATCGTATCCAAGCCAGCGCTACTCCCTTCCTTTCCATGGACGTCCCCGCAGCGAGGGTCATCGAACAAGACGTTTGCCCCCATCCTCGCACCTCCATCAGGTCCCTGCAAGTTTGCCAAACGACGACGTCTCCAGAATATCAGCGTGTCCAACGGTAGCACGAAAGTATCTGCTAAAGCGGGAAAGGCTCTTGCAAGTGGATCAGTGGTCAAGAAAGGCAGCAAGTACTGCATGGTGGATGGATGCATGAGTCGAGCCAAGCACGCACGTCGCTGTTGGCGCCACGGTGGCTCGGTCAAGTGCAAGATCCCGGACTGTACCAACCGCGCGAAGACCAAAGGCGTGTGTTGGTCGCACGGCGGCGGCACCCTCTGTTCGTTCCGCGACTGCACCACGATTTCCGTCTCCAATGGTGTCTGCTGGGCCCATGGCGGGGGCAAACGTTGTGCAATGGACGGATGTGCACGTCCAGCCTACGAACGAACGGAGCACCTGTGCACGCTCCACTTTGAGGAGAAGCAGTACATCGCACAGGTCCACAGTATCAACACGCAGTGCCACCCCAAAAACACGCCTGCTAGAGACGAAAGCCATGCATCAAATGGCTTGTGAGACGATGATCAAAGTGCGACGGTGGTAATTGCACTAGTTTCCATGACGCTAGCACCTCTGTCGGCTACTTCACTTGCAAACAGCACGCACACATACGTGAGTAATTTAGACACCAACCTACACCTGCATCTTAGGACACGATACGCATAGATACATACTAGAGGAATCATTCAATTCAAACTTGGACCGAGTTTCAACACAAACACACATTGTTTTTCATGGCAAACGGTAGGCTTGCGCAAGCTTGTCCTGAGCGACAATGGCATTCCTTGCTGTATTAGTGTTATCTTACCAGCCGCTGTCTTGCCCGGTACGCTAGTCGCACCATCTGCATATCTAAGTTTCAGACCCCTCCATTGCAGGTTCAATCGTACAACCACGGTCTGCAATTGCAGCTCTTTGATAATGGCCTTGATACATGACGGATTCTACGAAGCTTCTCCACGCAACACCGCTTGCTGTTCCTCGAAGGCGTCATACGTCTGCTGAAACAGCGGATGGAAAAATTCCTTCCACTCAGCGTACGGAATGCGCTTGTTCTTGGTGTTGGGAGTTGAGCCCCCACCAACGTCCTCGCCACCACGAAATTCGTGCCAGGCGCAGCCCACGTGGTGGCAAATGTTTTGGTACCCGTAACGATACTTCTCCTTCGGGAAAATCTCCACGATTGTAGTCATCGGCCGTGTCCAAAGTACGTTGACGAGACCAGCGCCGTGCATACTGACGATCATGTCGCTCTCGATGGTAGTCGTCATCTGTTCATGTAGCGTGAGCTTCACGTAATCGATCGAACGAAACTGCACGCTGAGATTGTTGTAATCCTTCCGCATGTTCCTCATCACCTCATTCTCGTTCAACCACATGCGCTGCAGCTTACGTCCCGCGTACGGCTGACGAGTGATCACCGTCACATACATCGGCCGGATCCTCGTCACACCAAGCTCGCGTTCGACCTCCGGTGTTATATTAAAGGCGAGAAGAGACTGGGCACGGAACGTCTTCAGCAATTCGGAGTCGTAGCACGACTCGTTGTGATCCACATGCTGAATCACGGGTCCTGAAAACTCAAACGGAGCGAGCAACACATCGCCGCGAAAATGCACGCGTTTACCGATCAGCGTCGCACCCTCAATGATCTCAAAGTTTGGTCCCAACATTTCTCGGTGTAAAGCGTCATACAGCGAAGGGTAGCCCCCGTCTAGATGAATCACACGCGTCTTCATAGTATCCCACTCCAGTGCCTTCAGTATAATCCACGCGTTATACGCGCTCGAGAGTTGGAAAAACGGGTTGTGGTCGTCGTGGCGTGCCACTAACACCACCGGATCTTCGAACACCACCGTCTCATGTCCATCCGGAGCTTTCGTTGGATGTTCAACAAAGTCCCACCTCGATCGACTTCTTCCAGGGAGTCTCTCCACCGAGCAAAACACCGGCTCTGGAATGTCTTTCTTGTCCGGCACTGACTTCAACAGATCCCGCCACATCATTTCTGCGATGCGTTCCTTCTCCCCCGGCAGCTTCTGGAAGTAGTTTGCATATTCATCGCACGCACAACTGATCAGCTCCATGTTGAAATTGAACCTCGGGTCGTGATGAAAACCGTCGTCGGCTATCGACTTGATCGGAGCATGAATCGATACATTCACGAAGTCCAGCATGACGTTCTGCAACACGGTGCTATCGATACCTCCTCTCGTATGGAAACGTGACACCTTCGTCGCTTGAGTCGGACTTGCTGGCGCTTGAGCTGGATGGTCCCACCCTCCACTGGCGCAAAAGGTTTTGGCTGATTTACGCACATCGGCAATGATCCCTACATCTTGTTCAGCGTAACACTCGTCCTTTGTCTTGTGACTTTCGTAAACATGAGGTGGTCTCGTACGTTGCACGACCAAGCGATTGAGCTGCTCCGGACTGCATTTCAGATTGAGGCCTCGAGAGGAAAGTCGTGAGGGCGCTGTAATGTAATGCGTGGCCGTCGCAAGAAACTAGAATGATCAAGGTGAGCGACAAGAAGAACAGGTGCACTGACCTGCACGCGAATATACAGGTTGATGGTACAAGTTTGATGAAGTGGGTAACAAAGTGATCAATGCCCAAAGAAGAGAGGCGCGACAAGAGCCTTCGTGTTTTCAATCGCGAGTGGCAAAGATTTGTAAAAGACGTTGCCGCTGGATAGTGGGGCCAGCATCCACATGGCATTTGATCGTGATAAATTGTTGTCTACCTTCCGGTCAATGAGAGATGGCTTCGAGGTGTTTGTGGCTGATGGGGATCGCTTGCCTGTATGTAGCACGAGATCGATCGACCCGACACTCGAGAGAGAGAGAGAGACAGGACTGTGATCGTCAACAACGTTCTATACATACTGGGCTTGAACCGTAAGCTACTATCGGTATCGGCGCTCGCAGAGCGCGGAGCATAGGTTCGCTTTGGAGAAGAGCGGTGCTTTATTTTAAATGAAAGACGAGTGATGGCCAGTGGACATCGTTCGGGAAGGCTGTATGTGCTGAACTTATCAAGGTACAGCAATGTCAGCAAAAATGAAGCGAATGCGGTGAAGCCTTTCTTGGATGAGTCGACGTTGTGGCATGCAAGACTTGGCTATGTTGCGCATGATTGCATAGCAGCATTAACAAGATAGCGCAAGATGTTTCGCAACTTCCATTGGTTGCATCGTCAGAAGGCCCATGTGAGAGATGTGCATGTGGCAATGTGTGTGTTCTGAAAGAAGCAAGAACATTTGGAAGTGTGGTGAAGACGAGCTCGCCACTAGAGGTGTTTCACAGCGACTTGATGGGACCAATTGAGTATGCTTCCAAGGGTGGTGGTTGGTACATTGTCGTTTATATTAATGACTGGTCCCGTTACGTTCAAGTCTACCTGGTTAAGATGAAGATCGATATACTGAGGAAGGTCAAGGTGTACAAGACATTCATGGAGTCGCAGTTGAATGCTCGTATACGCTGCATTTGGAGTGACAATGGTGGCGAATACTGCAGCAAGAAGGTCGACAATTCCTGTACGAAATACGGAATTTGACACCAAACTAGTGCACCGTACTCGCCCCAGCAAAACGGTCTTGCAGTAAGTACCAATCGTTCGCTTGCCAAAATGGCGCGTTCGATGCTGTACTGATAGCATTTGCCCAAAGAATGGTGGGGTAAAGCGATAATGACGGCTACATGCACTCAAAACCGTCTTTCAAATTTGACGCGTCATGGTACTACGCCTCACGAATTTTTGTGGAAGACCAAACCGTCGCTCGGACACATGCGTGTTTTTGGATCGCGCGGCTGTGTGTATGTCGACCAAGCAAACAACCGATGAAGGCGATGGCATGGAAGTAGACGACGCGAACAATACTGATGATGTTACTTCGGACCAAGTGGTTGATCCAGTTTTCGATCCATCGTCATCTCGCCTAGATACTCTTGGCAAGGAGGGGAATTAGAATCCGAAACGTGGTTTTCTTCACATCTGTCAGTCGCAGTTTATCGAGCGACTTGCTGAACGCTTTCGTCAGTTTTCAGCGTTTTCCACTCGTATCCCGAATGTTTTGTGTCAGGAAATGAGTGATTTTACTGGCGGTGAAAAGACAGAAAGCAAGAAGAATCGTGAATTTATTGGGTCCCTGCTCTACATATCTAGTACGTCACGTCCTGACACCAGTGTGTCAAGTATGAGTTATCCTAGCACCTTAAGCCGTCGACACAAGAACTCATGAAGGCTGCAGTGCATGTGCTTCGTTATTTAAAGGGGACACAGAGGCTCGGTATTTGCTACAAACGTGGTGACGAGCAGGATTCGTGCCCACTGCTTTGCTGATGCGAATTGGGGTAGCGATTTGTCAACGTGTCGATCCACGTCCAATTTCTAGTGACTCTGTGCAGTGCTCGTGCCATCTACAGTTCTACGTGGCAAATGATCGTCACTCTTTTACTCTGCCAAAGTCTAATAAATGGATTTATCTCTCGCGGCGCAAAAAATTAATGTGGCCTCATCACTCAATTTAGAAACTGGGTGCGATCCAGCTACCTGCTACCGTCATGAATGTTGATAACGGAGCCGCAATATCGATAGCAGAACATGGTGGATACCAGTCGCGAGCGACGCGTATTGACCTACGTTGTCACTTGTGCGAGACGCAGTTCAAAATGTTGTGATCAAGATAAAGTACGTGCCTACTGCTAAACAACTTGTGGGCTTTGTGACAAAGTCACTCCCTACGCCGCAGTTCACCAAGTTGGTCAAGCTAAGTGGGATTGTTGAGGGTCCAGAGATTAGCAATTGAGGGGGAGTGTAATGGATGGTGAACTATCATCTGATGTAAGAGCAATCGCTATGACTCGTCTGTTAATGAAGATGTTGCTGGAGACGTTCTCTTCTTAAATGATTCGAACAAAGGTAAGAAGTTGATGATTACGTGCTGTGTACATTTTTGTTGGGGTAGTTGGATGTAAAAGCCGAAGTGAATATATTTAAGGTCCTTAGTTCACTACCCTTAGCTAAGTCTAAGCCTTAATGTAACAACATCCTGTGATCTCATCATGTAACCGCTGTAACGGGGTGAATCGTTACATAACAATTTATAAGAAATTGTTAATAGAATATAACTATAAGAGTTATATTCTCAGAATATTGTCATAAGGACAATATTCTGTAGCACTTCCAAGTAGTTCCTAATTGGTTGATATAGGCCATTATATCAACCAACGAAGACGCGCCACGACAGACGCACGCAATGAGTGGTGAGCAGATAACTGATTTACACATTTGTATTTAGACATAGTTAGATGAAGATAAATAGTGATTTATTGCAGACATTAACTATTATAAATACTGTTCTACTTTTTACTCTAACCGAGTACCCGCTTCTTCTTACCGTCTTCCTCTGCACGTACGAGTGTACGTGAAGTTACGAGGCACCGCCTTATTCTGTTATCAGAATAAGTAGCTTGTACTGTCACCAGTACAAGCTTCAGGGTGCCCCGTTACACCTGGTAGCACTTCGTAGTCCGTCCAAGGACCGCGTTCACATCCAACATGAATATGTTGGATGATGAAGATGACCAAAGCTTTCACGCTACGCGTGACGGCTACTCCCATTTGAGCGATGTCGAATGGGATGCGGTTGAACGAATGGGTTCGACCATGGGCATCCATGCTGTTAGCGTCATGCTAGAGGCTCTCAATAGAGATGCCCAACATGCTACTATCGCCAAGTTCATTCAAAATGAACTTGACGCAGAACGCGAGAAAGTAGCCTTGCTTCACCAACAAGGTTCTCAACAAGCAGAGTTGTTGAGAGAACAAGGTGCTCAACAGTTTGAACTGTTGAGACAGCAGCAGGCTGCTGCTGGCGGGTCGATGCACTCGCGTCGGCCCGAGACTTTGAAGATTGACATCTCAAAGTATAGGGGGTCGAAGAAGACTCCCTCTTGAGATGGTTCGTCGAATTGGATGACGCCATAAGGGCGCGTCGCATCGACGACGGGGATATGCAAGTTGCATTTGCCCAGTCAAATCTGGCAGGACGTGCCAAGACTTGGGCACTGGGGCTCAAGCTGCACGACCCATATGCGTTTGGGTCGTTGGAAGTCTTCAAGTCGCGGCTCAGACAAACGTTTGAACCGCCTAGAGCTGAGTTCAGAGCTCGAACCGAACTCTTGAAGCTCAAGCAGGGTAAGCGTGATGTGCACGCTTACGCTCAACATATACGACATCTCACGAGTTGTATAAGTTCCAATCCGGTGGATGAACACACGTTGGTTTCGGTGTTCATGCAGGGTCTTGCGGATGGTCCCGTCAAGACTCACCTGTTCCGGCTTGAACTAGATTCACTAGAACAAGCCATTTCAATTGCGGAGCAGGAAGACTTCAGTCTGAGACAGGCTCGCGCCAGCTCGACATCATATCGTCAACCGAGACGATATGACAACGGAGGTCCAGAGCCGATGGAACTCTGTTATGTAGAGAGCGAGAAGGCTCGCTCTACAGGCTACAAGAAGTTGCAGAGATGCAACAGATGTCAAAAGACAGGACACTACGCTTACGAGTGTAGTGCCCCTCGTCCAGTGTCTCGCGACACTGGGCGTAGTGACCGTCCACCCATGAGAAAGGGGCAGGGACGAGGGTCCGCAGTTGGTGCAAAGACGCAACAACGGGATGGACCGTCAAAAAACGGACAGGATCAGTAGGTGCGGAGCACCCTACTGATCCAGCAACGTCAAGAGAATTTGTAGGCCTCTTGATGAAGGTTGCTCCCAACACACAGACATTGTGCGTTGCTGCTCTAGGTAATGAGATCTCACTCATTACCTTGAAACTCGAAGTGACGAATAAGTTGTCCCTTCGAGCTCTAGTCGATTGTGGGGCGTCCAACAATTTTGTGCGACGCCAATCGCTAGAAGATGGTCACTTTAAATTCAGTGAATGTGACACACCTCCTACGAGGATGACGGTACGTCTTGCGACAGGCGCATCCGTAACCAATCATGAAGCGTATAGTGAAGATTCACTATACGCTAGAAGATACCCAATACGACGATGACTTTATCGTATTGGATTTGGATGACAAATTTGATGTCATCCTGGAATACCGTGGCTCAGAAGGTACGAACCACGGGTAAACTGGCAACATCGGACAGTAACGATGCTCTGCCGCTTGTTCATCAGATGGCCATCTGATGAACGTTTTGGAGCGTCCACAAGCGTGTGGATGTACTACGAGTGAGTGCGATGGCCTCACTTGTGGTACGGTCGTTAGTACGACTGCACAAAACCTTAGTGTACCAAACGGTTACACTTCGGAGCAAAGTTCCGGCGGCTGTGAGGAAACACAGGCTGCGCCGAAGGTCCACCACTCGAATAAGTCGGGTGGACTGGGACAAAGATGTATCCCTAGAGGGGAACATCTAGAAGAGAAACAATCGATCGCTCAGGTTAAGCGAAACGATAATCCTAGATCGACTGGAGAGTCTTTCGTAGAGGATCTCGCTGTGGTTGCGCAACCCCAGCTAGAGGAAGTAAAGGGAATAAGTCCCAAGATTACAAATACGGCGGAAATAAGTTCCCCGAAACCCGCGGGAATAAGTCCTCGGGAAGACGAAGGAATAAGTCCTTCGAAGCCTGAGGGAATAAGTCCCCAGGAAATGACAGAGACATTGAATGTCATAGTCAATAACGGATCATGTGTAGGCGCTTATACACTTGATCTGATTGCGCCTCCGAAGTTAACTTCGGAGATCACTCAGTTGCCAACGCTCGAACATAAAAGATTCTTGCGTGATCTGCGTAGTGGCAAAGTCAAGCAGATCTGCATACTCGTCGCTGAAGACGAGTATGTAACCGACATAAGGTCAGCAACAGTGTTTACTGAGAACGAGAGAGTTTCAGTAGTTCATCTATGGACGAGAGTGCCCTAGATGAAAAGACACGAATTGAGCGATATGAGTCCCAATCATGGGAATCGCTCAAGGAAAATCCTCTCTATGAAGATTTGGTTGAATTCAAGGATGTATTCCCTGAAACTGTTCCGTGCGAATTACCGAAGGATAAAGGTATTCGACACGAAGTCGAGCTTAAACCAGGCTCGAAGTACTGTGTCATGAAGCAGTGGCCACTGCCTCGTGAACAGTACTTGCGATCGACAAGTTCTTTGCCGATCGTTTAGCAGCGGGCCATGTGAGGGAATCAACTTCCCCACATAGCTCTCCGACCTTCTGTGTGCGAAAAGCAACAGGAGGGTGGCGGATAGTGCACGCGTTTAACAAATTGAACGCTGCAACGGTACCGGCTCAGACGCCGATACCGAGGAAGGACGTAATCATTGATGGTATGTCAAAGAGTACCATCTTTTTCGTCCATGGATTTGATGGATGGCTTCTATCAAATCCTAATGCGGGAACGGGATATACCCTATACCGCAGTTAGCACGCCTAGCGGCATGCTCTGGGAATGGCTAGTAATGCCACAAGGGCTCAGTAATGCCCCTGCCACGTTCAACAGGTGTGTATCACATCTGTTGAGGCCAGTACGAGAATTCGCGCCGAGTTATTTCGATGACGTATTCATCCATAGTCGAGCTATGGATGGAAAGTCGGACGTTGAGGTTCACAAGTACCACGTCCGACAAGTTCTTACAATCATGCGAAAGCATCAATTGTATGCAAACCTCAAGAAGTGTATATTTGCAGCAAGCGAAATACCACTTCTTGGGTGCATCGTTGGTAAGAACGGTGTACGTCCTGATCCCGAAAAGATCAAGGCGATCACCGACTGGCCCGTGCCGGTCGATGTCAAAGGTCTTCGAAAATTCCTTGGCTAGCGGCGTATTTGCATAAGTATTCACGCAATTACGCCGAGATGACTGTACACCTCTCTCGTTTGTTGAAAAAGAACGAGAGGTGGTTATGGAACGCTGAATGTCAACGCCCTTTGAGGGTATCAAGCAGAGCTTGATACAATCCCCAGTCCTAGCAATAGCCGATCAGGACAGGCCATTTCATGTGGTCTGTGATGCCAGCGATTTCGCAATCGGCTGTGCATTAATGCAGTACGACCTTGAAGGCGTTGAACGCGTCGTCTGCTATCAGTCGCGTCAGCTGCAACCAGCTGAGCGGAACTATCCAGTGCATGACAAGGAACTCCTTGCCATGAAGTATGCACTCGCGAAGTTCAGAGTCTATCTATTAGGAGATAGACCCTTCGTTGTTTACACTGACCATGCGTCCTTACGCACGGCAGTGAACAGCCCGCACCTTTCACAACGAATGGCGCGGTGGTTGTCATTCTTTGCAGAATACAACTTTACGGTCGAGTACAAACCAGGACGACTTAATGTCGTCGCTGATGCACTCTCACGTCGTCCCGACTTTGAAACAGTCGCGAAACCCAACAGTGAGACAGTCACTGTTGCGGTTATGACGTCCTCAGTTCCATCTACAACGTTGTATGATGATGTGAGGCGGGCATACGCCCAAGATGGTGAGATAGTGAAGTTGTTGTCACATCTCTCCCAACCATCTCGAGAATCGTTGAAACGATTGTCGTTCTGCGTATCGATCTGCATCAGATCGATACACTACTCGTAACGGTTTACTGTACTATACAGCCGTTTCTGGTGACACACCACGTGTTGTCATTCCAGATGATACTGATCTGCGTTTGCGGATCATGTTCGAGTATCACGATGCTCCTATAGGAGGACATCGTGGCCGAGAGAAAACATATCTCACGGTAAGTCGAGACTTTTACTGGCCCCGCCAGTATCAGTTTGTGCGAAAGTATGTTCGCGCATGCGAAGTCTGCCAACGAGTGAAGTCAAGTCCTTCACTGCGTGCACCTTTACAGCCTCTACCGGTTCCGGCTGAGTGCTGGGAATCCATCTCAATGGATTTCGTCTTCGGGTTACCCAAAGACGCACGCGGGAATACGGGTATTCTCGTATTTGTTGACAGATTCAGCAAAATGGTACACCTTGTGGCTGTACCAGAGACAATCACGGCAAGTGGCTGTGCTTGTGTCTTTATTGACACCATCTTCCGACTTCATGGGTTGCCCCGTGAACTCGTATCAGACAGAGATCCACGATTCACTGCTGATTTCTGGCGTTCCGTGTTCAAATCACTCGGAACGCGCTTGAAGATGTCAACATCTGATCATCCAGAGTCAGATGGTCAGACGGAACGTGCCAATCGTGTCCTTGAAGAGATACTTCGAGGATACGTACACTCCTTTAAGAGTTGGAGTGAGTTTTTGCCGATGGTAGAGTTTGCCATCAACAACTCGGTGCATGCGTCCACGACACATACACCGTTTTACGTGAATGGCTTGCGCCATCCGCGTGTACCCACCTTACTAGAGTGTAACTCTGGTTTAAGGGGGGGAGGGACTCGCGCGAGCAAAAACCGATTTGGTTCACGCTCATCACGCTCTGACGAAGAAGTCATTGCGTTTGATGCCGATATCGATAACATCGATATCGAAGAAGATGATGCCAGTGAGAGTGCGGAAGCCCTCACTGAAGAAAAGGTTGTTGTCGCTGCAGTGCGCTCACAGCACACTGAAGCTAACGAGTCATCAGATGAGTTCATACTGGCTCGTGAAACGGTAGTCCGTTTTGTGCAAGACTCCATCGCCGAAGCGGTGGATAAGCTAAAGCAAAACGCTGACAAGAATGGAAGGGCAAACACTCTTTTATTTAATAAAGGTGACTTAGTCCTACTTTCTACGGTTAATCTACCAAAACATGTAGTGACTAACTTGGGTAGCAGTAAACTACTACCCAAGTACATTGGCCCATTTCGTGTATTGCACCGCCTAGGCAATGCATACACGATCGAGTTACCACGTAAGATGCGAACGCATCCCACGTTTTACGTTGGTCGGCTTAAGCCGTACCATCAGTACGCTGCTTCTTCCGATGAAGAACGCCCTTGCGCTCAAGCATCTCGCAGAGAGCCTTGTGCTCCCGATGGTGGGCATCAACAAGGGTCTGAAGAGCAGTTATCTCAGCCCGAGACCGATCAACAATCCCACGAGCTACCCTTAGCTCGTCACGAAGAGATGTCAGAGATCTCTCGTTCTCAAGCTGAGCAAAGGCAAACTCAGCTCGATGCTTCGAGGCAGTGTCCACCATCTGGAGACGCCTATTCCGCTCATGCTCGAGATCGTCGCGTAACCCTTGCGTTACGCGATCAAAGAAGCTCTCGGGAACACACCGATCCACATGATCGTGTGGAGAGCGTCTTTCCTCCTCCTCCACCTCCATTAGAGGACTCTCGCGGTGGCCAGCGCTGTCTAGTAGAGCAGCTGTTGAACCACCGCGACGTGAACGGACGTCGGACGAGTTACCTCGTCCGGTGGCGCGGCTATCCCCCGTCCTGGGATTCTTGGGAGCCCCGCTCCCAATTGATGGTTGACGTACTGGGTCTGGTCGAGCAGTACGACGCGACACATCCTGTGCCGCAGAAGGACCGCCGGAGAAAGTCTTCCCGGCACGGTCGTAAAGGGATTTCAGGTTGTCAATCCCTTCGTACATCTCAGTAGAGACACGTACGCGCCACCACGGGCTGGTAAGGAGGTAAGCCTCCTTAGGTGCTCGTGCAGAGTTGTTCACACAACATGGGCACGAGTCTCCCCAAGAAAGGCAGGGTAATCATTTCTCCCTTGACAGACGATGCAGCTTGTAGCGTGCACCTGTCGGGGTTCGCTTTTCAAACTTATCACGAGCTTTGATAAGTTTGTCGTTCCAAGCGTCACGACCTACATCCTCGAGATTATGGATGTAGGCGTTCCACGCCTGAAGTAGTGAGGGACCATCACGTTTGTGATTCCCACTGTACCATCGATGTCTGAAGAAAGCATCGATGAAGAACTCATGTTCAGCGCGATAGTCCTTCGCGCTGGGGTCAAGGTGATGAATCCTCGACGAATCGAACAATCGTGTTCGATAACGATCACTCGTCGTCGCCGACAAGTGATCCATGACAGATTTAGGAGGCATCCATGCCTTCTTTTCTGGAGCGAGACGCAACACATTGCGGTCCCGCTCTTCCTGCGACGTGCCGACAGAAGTACTGGCACCTCGCTGTGAAGTGGTGTCCATTGGAGAAACGACACCACTATTAGCGCCCGAGTCTCGCGACCTCGAGCGCCTTCGCTTCGGCGATGGTTCATCTGACTCATCAGATGAACCAAAGATGCTGCGACGCAAAGCATCGTCCATGCCACGCTTGGCAGGCGGCTTGGATTCAATTGCCGTCGATACGGATCCGTCATCCGTATCAGGAGAGTACGAGACACCGAGCTCGTACTCTGTGAAGACACGAGTGTCTTCATGACCAGCGCCTGCATCACCAGGTGATACAGGCTGAGCCGATTCAGCAACCGATGGGACATCAGTTGCTGTAGTTTCTGCTTCGGCGTCCGCACAGAGACGTGCAGACGCGCTCTCGGCGGCCTTGCTCGCGCATCGCATGGGCTTGTTTACCATGCGATGAGATGTTGGAAAGTGGACGCGGACCAACAAGTGTGAAACCCCGTCCCAAATGATTTGGGACGAGTATCCATTTAGTCAATCAGTCACTAAAGTGACTGATGGTTAAGGGGGGTGATGTAACGGGGTGAATCGTTACATAACAATTTATAAGAAATTGTTAATAGAATATAACTATAAGAGTTATATTCTCAGAATATTGTCATAAGGACAATATTCTGTAGCACTTCCAAGTAGTTCCTAATTGGTTGATATAGGCCATTATATCAACCAACGAAGACGCGCCACGACAGACGCACGCAATGAGTGGTGAGCAGATAACTGATTTACACATTTGTATTTAGACATAGTTAGATGAAGATAAATAGTGATTTATTGCAGACATTAACTATTATAAATACTGTTCTACTTTTTACTCTAACCGAGTACTCGCTTCTTCTTACCGTCTTCCTCTGCACGTACGAGTGTACGTGAAGTTACGAGGCACCGACTTATTCTGTTATCAGAATAAGTAGCTTGTACTGTCACCAGTACAAGCTTCAGGGTGCCCCGTTACAACCGCGATCCATAACCTTCTTCCGTAATAACCACCATGAAACACCCTGACACAGAAATCATCACCATGAACCCAACATGAAACGACTGCACGAAGCGGCGTATTCTCAACACTCCCACTCGCCGCTACTGCTTGGTTTCTTTGCACTGGATACTGTTTGCATCGCGCAGGAACTTGAACGTCTTGGATCCTAGCGCCTTGGTCAGTATGTCGGCCAATTGATGTTTGGTGTCCACATACGCTACCGCAACCGTCCCGTCTTCGATCGTCTCTCTGATGAAGTGATGACGGATGTCCACATGCTTGGTCCGAGCATGATAACCAGCGTTTTGGGCCAAAGCAATCGCTCCTTGATTGTCCTCCCATATCTGGGTAGCGTTCATTTGTACCATTCCCATGTCCGTCAGTATCGCACGCGTCCATAGCACTTCCTGAACGCATAGGCTTAAAGCCATATACTCAGCTTCCGCTGAGCTGAGGGCAACCGTTCGTTGGAACTTAGATTTGAACACCGCCGGAGCGTTCCCAATCACGATCATAACCCCCGAGACAGATCGCCTGTCGTCGAGGTTGGAACCCCAGTCCGCATCCGAGTAGGCTTCAGCTGTGACGCTGCCAGTACCACCTTTGTAGATGATCCCGTGCTGGCGAGTCGTCTTTAAGTAGCGTAGAACACGTATAGAAGCGTTCCAATGCTGCGCCCCGGGATTCTCCAGGAAACGAGAAAGTTGCGTTACCACGAATGAAATGTCCGGGCGAGTACACGTCGTGATATACAGTAGGCATCCAATTAAGGAGCGGTACGGTCTCGATTGCATCTTTCTTCGCTCTTCATCCGTTGCTGGCGATTGCGACTTTGACAACTTAAGACCAGTTGCACACGGGTTGTCAACCGACTTAGCGTTCTCTTGCCCGAACCGTTTCGCCACATCATCGATGTATCGCGTTTGCTTAATCATAAGCGTTCCAGCAATCATGTTATGGTCGATCTCCATTCCCAGGATAAATTTCGCCGGTCCAAGCTCCTTCATCTTAAAGACACTCTTGAGTGCGTTTTGCACGTCATCAATTTCATCACTAGTCTTCGCCGCAATGATCATATCATCTACGTAAAGACAGACGTAAATGAAATTGCTCTTGGAACGCTTGACATAGACGCACTGGTCCGCACCACAGCTCTTGAATCCGTACCCAAGAAATACCCGATGAATGGTCTTGTTCCAGGCACTTGCAGCTTGCTTCAGTCCATATATGGCCTTGTTCAGCTGGCACACATAGTTCTGAGCGTATGTTGTAGGAAGATCCACTGTGTCAATGCTTGCTGCGTACGCGAGGACGGCTTCAGCAATAAGGCCGTCTTCATCGATCCTGGCACGCTTCGGATAGGACGGTCCATCTCTTCCTTCCGACTTCCGTTCTTCCTCTGCGTCCGTTCCCTCTTCAAGAAGGAAGACTGGTTCCCGGGAACTTCTAAAACGGTCTCTAGGGGTATGGAACACCACTTGATCGTCCTCGAAGATAGTCGGTGGTCCACGGTACGGTTCCAACTCAAATCCAGTGGGAGCTGACCGTTCTTGTGGCATCAGCAGCGGCGGTATAGCGTCCTGTATCGGTTGCATGCTCTCCATCTCTACATCCGGTGCGTCGTTCTCAACGCCTTCCATGGGTTTCGCTTCGACGGGTTGAAGTTCCACTGGTGCGAGCGTGACTTCATCATCGGCGTCTGTGCTAACATGAATAACTGTTTCAATCTGAGCAGGTAGTGTATCGTAAATACCATCTATCTCACGCTCGTCCAATTTCACCGAGCGAGAAACTTTGACCTTGGAAGCGTCCAAGTCATAGACACGGTAACCCTTGACGTTTTCTGGGTATCCGAGCAGCAGACATCTAAAGCTCTTAGGTTCAAGCTTCGTCCTCTTCGCTTCGTCAATGTGAGCGTACCCGCGAGAACCAAATACGCGTAGGTGATCTAGCGTAGGTTTCACTTTGAAACCTAGCTCAAACGGTGTTACGGTTGCGTTGTGCGTGTTCGTGGAACGGTTGATTAGATATACCGCAGTACTAACTGCTTCAGCCCACCACTCCATTGGAACGCCCTTGTAGTATAGCATACTTCGAGATCTCTCCATGATAGTTCGGTTCATCCGTTCTGCCACTCCATTCTGCTGAGGGCTATACGGGACAGTCCGTTGGTGCACGATACCGTTCAGCATACATATCTTCGTCATCTCTTGGTTGACAAACTCCGTTCCGTTATCCGATCGTAAACACTTCATGCGCTCTCCCCATTGATTCTCATAGAAAGTCATGAACTCTCTAAGCTTAATGGCCACCTCGCTCTTCTTTTTCAAGAAATAGGCCACAACGTAGCGCGAGTAGTCGTCCACGAACGTCAGGACATACTTGGCACCACCTTTCGAAGGATTATTCATTGGTCCCATCATATCCGTGTGGACGAGCTCAAGAACGCGCGACGTCTTCGAGCTGGAACAATGCGGAAATTTAGCCACCGTTTGCTTCCCCTTCATGCATCCGCCGCACAAAGACTGGGGCGGTTGACCAACAGCCGGAATACCGTTCGTGGCATGCCTTGTCTTATCCAGAGCATCCTGGTTGGGATGCCCCATGCGAGCGTGCCAAAGCTCCCACTTGCTGTCAGCCTCGGCGTACTGGACGAACCGAGCTTCTTCTTGTTCACAGTCTTACATGTAAGCCTTGCCGACCTTCTTACCCTTCGCAATTGCGCTAGCCGCTCCCCATATAACACATGAGGAACGCTGAAACTCCACGTTCAGTCCACGATCCGCGAGCTTCCCCACTGACAACAGACGCCGATCGAGGCCCGGTATGTGAAGAACTTAAACCATCTTAATCCGTTTACCGTCCAGTCCAAGCAAGCGTACCGTACCACGTCCAGTGACCTGCAGCTTCTTTCCGTCAGCGATTGTTACTTCGATGCCACCATTCACGTTCTCATACTCGAACAGATCGGAACGGTGCGGGGTCATGTGGGCGGTCGCGCCGCTGTCGATCAACCATCCGTTTACACGTTCTGTGCTCACAACAAATACCGCATCGCCGTCTGTTGTTCCCTCTTGACAGTCCCGCTTCATGTGCCCAACTTTGTTGCACTTGAAACACTTGCCTTGGAAACCACTAGAGTTCTTCTTCTGATCGCTCCACTTGCGACCACTCCTCTTGTTGCCCTTGAAACGTCTAGCGTTGACCTTAAATGCTCGTTCCGAAGTCGTGTCTTTCTTCTCCAACCGTTCACACTCCTTCAACAGCTTCTCTTTCACCTCGATGAGCGTGATGTCCTTGACGTTCTCGATGATCGACGATATCAGCTCGTATTCGGCTGGAAGGCTGCTCAGCAGCACTACTAGCTGCCGTGCCTCGTCGACGGGCTCTCCAAGCGTCTGAAGACCGACAACGAGCTCGTCGAAAGCGTCCAAATGCTTTGCCATGGCCGTTCCAGCATCCATCTTGAATTCGTGGAGGCGCCGTGTCATCGTGACCCGATTGTGGAGTGTAGTGCGATTGTAGAACTCCCTAAGTGTTACCCACGCTTGAATAGCACGCGTCTACGAACGGATCTTTGTCTGGTGTTGTAGTTCCACACCCTGCGCGATGATGCCGAGAGCCTTTGCGTCATTTACTAACCAAGCTTCCGTTATCTCACTCTCCGCCTTGACCACCTCCACGTGCGCCAGCAGTCCTTTTCTGGCGAGCGACATCCTCATATTGAACTTCCAATGGAAATAATTTCCACTTCCTAGGAGGACTTCGGCGCGCTTGGTACTCATCATGTGCGAGGCGAGGCGTTCTTGGTCTTGACGCCGCTGTCCGAGTTGCGGCTGTTAACCTGTTGGGGTAGTTGGATGTAAAAGCCGAAGTGAATATATTTAAGGTCCTTAGTTCACTACCCTTAGCTAAGTCTAAGCCTTAATGTAACAACATCCTGTGATCTCATCATGTAACCGCGATCCATAACCTTCTTCCGTAATAACCACCATGAAACACCCTGACACAGAAATCATCACCATGAACCCAACATGAAACGACTGCACGAAGCGGCGTATTCTCAACAATTTTGACATAGTTTGATACGTTAAACTACTTCCAAATCTATTTTGATGATTGATTTTGCTCATACAGTCGCGACGCTTCATCTACACAAAATAACTGGCAGATCGCACGGGCACAAAGGAAAATAAGTGGCAGATGAATCAGAGTTTGGCTCATACCGATCTGTAAGTTAGTGAAATCTAATATAACAAAGGATATCCAGAAGAGCCTAAACTGGATGCCGGCCATCTGGCACCTTGTCCTGTCCCTGAGCCCCATCTTGCGAACATCTTGGCCTATTGGCACAACGACTTCATTCCGTTGACCCGTGGTGGTGGTCCGGCTGCTCCATACCAGTGAACGTATTCGGGCTGATACATATTGATGTCGTTTCGGTGAGAGCACACCCGGCGCCCATACGAATGAGTCTACGCCTCGTGGAAGTGGTCGGCAATGGTGCCTTCAACATACCGTTAATTCTCTCGATCAGAACGTTGACGCTTAAAGGGCAGCCATTGATCCGACTTGGCCTCGCGTACAGTCTTGGGACACTACTCAAGATGGGGAGCGTTTGATGTGAGCACTACCTTGATATTGCATCCCTTTCTGTTGCCAAGCATTCTGGTATGCTTCATAACATGCTATTTACCCCTGATGTTGCGTGTTCTTTTATAGCAGACTATGCCATAGTAAGAGAATCATGTGCAAGTGTCTCGGGGAGAGCAAGGATGTTAGTTTTGACTGGTTTTGATATCGAAACATTCTACAAATTTATTGTAAGTGTAACGGGGCACCCTGAAGCTTGTACTGGTGACAGTACAAGCTACTTATTCTGATAACAGAATAAGGCGGTGCCTCGTAGCTTCACGTACACTCGTACGTGCAGAGGAAGACGGTAAGAAGAAGCGAGTACTCGGTTAGAGTAAAAAGTAGAACTGTATTTATAATAGTTAATGTCTGCAATAAATCACTATTTATCTTCATCTAACTATGTCTAAATACAAATGTGTAAATCAGTTATCTGCTCACCACTCATTGCGTGCGTCTGTCGTGGCGCGTCTTCGTTGGTTGATATAATGGCCTATATCAACCAATTAGGAACTACTTGGAAGTGCTACAGAATATTGTCCTTATGACAATATTCTGAGAATATAACTCTTATAGTTATATTCTATTAACAATTTCTTATAAATTGTTATGTAACGATTCACCCCGTTACAGTAAGTGTATGTACGTGTTTCCGGGTGTCAGCAACATGCAGGGTTAACTACTATATTGCTTCATTATCCTAATTTGACTGACCATATACCTATGACTGTTATGAACGGGGTGGTTGAGTAATGGATATCGCTAACGTAGGAGATAACATCTAAGATAGAGGAGCAATCTCTGCCTCCCGCTCTTTGATGTGTGTCATCCAGTTTGGAGAACTGAATCAAGTTCTGTACATTAACGTACCTTGCACTCGATCACTGATATATTCACTCATTGAGATCTCAACAATGCCTTTGAAAAATGATGAGGGGATGAATGCTAAATATCGCTCAGTACGACGTGTAAGGTAGACCTAGCGCTACTTACAGACGCATACAACGAGGGGGGCAGGCTAAAATGCACTTAGTACGACGTGCAAGGTACACCAGGTGCTGTTCACATACACAGGAGGTAAAAGACTAACAAACGGACTTCGTATGACGTTTATGGGACTCCCAGCGTTGTTTATATACAGGCAGGCAGACCGACGGACGGAGCAATAAGTACGATTTACAAAGCTTGGCCTTCGCCTTGCACACAGTCACTAATTGCGAGCCAGAAGAGTGAAGCTACTACCGACATCTTCGATCTTGCACCTATCGATGGCAAGACTTAAACGCTTGCAACGGCTTAGTTGTTCACATATTGTGAATTGTAACGAAAGGAGCTATTTGTCCATTCCTTGATACTTTCCTACAACTAGAGAGACGCTCTAGGTCTCGCGCGGATTTTGATGAAGTAAACAATGTGTACCACCTCTCTGAACAAACGGCGCACCGTCCTGTCCACAAATTCGATACAATTTACGAAGTCCTCGTCTCCATTTCGCTGCACGATGCGACCGTTTAAATCTCCCATTCATTTGCCATCCAGCTTTGAATTCAATCAATCACGCCACATCTGCCGCCAACATCCAGCCAAATAGACGCCGAACCCATTTCACATTGTGTCAGCCATGACCAAAGTCGACGAAAAGTCGTCGCTAGCATTTGTTGTATCTTCTTCCAACGTCTTCTGTAGCACCTGTCGGCGTCAGCTACCGACACTTACACTCGTGGTAGTGCTGCTGGGCGTCGCCTCAATAGTGGCACTAATCGTGGACTTGTCCATCGTGACGACCAGCTTGAATCTGAGCCAATCGGCACATAGCCTGCAGCATCTGGAGAAGCCTGATGGCTACACTCTAGAGCCGGACGTCGCCAGCAACAAATCAAGCGAGATAACTGAGACTTTCGGTCGTCACGTTGTGATAACGTCACCATCGGAGTCAGAGCTGCAACTGAGCGAGAAACAGCTGAAGCACCTCAATCGCTCGGTAGCGCAACGTAGGAGACCACCTCATGTTTACGAAAGTCACAAGACAAAGGACGAGTGTTACGCTGAACAAGATGTGGGGATCATTGACGATGTGCGTAAATCAGCCAAAACATTTTGCGCCAGTGGAGGGTGGGACCATCCAGCTCAGGCGCCAGCAAGTCCGACTCAAGCGACGAAGGTGTCACGTTTCCATACGAGAGGAGGTATCGATAGCACCGTGTTGCAGAACGTCATGCTGGACTTCGTGAATGTGTCGATTCATGCTCCAATCAAGTCGATAGCCGACGACGGTTTTCATCACGACCCGAGGTTCAACTTCAACATGGAGCTGATCAATTGTGCGTGCGATGAATATGCAAACTACTTCCAGAAGCTGCCGGGGGAGAAGGAACGCATCGCAGAAATGATGTGGCGGGATCTGTTGAAGTCAGTGCCGGACAAGAAAGACATTCCAGAGCCGGTGTTTTGCTCGGTGGAGAGACTCCCTGGAAGAAGTCGATCGAGGTGGGACTTTGTTGAACATCCAACGAAAGCTCCGGATGGCCATGAGACGGTGGTGTTCGAAGATCCGGTGGTGTTAGTGGCACGCCACGACGACCACAACCCGTTTTTCCAACTCTCGAGCGCGTATAACGCGTGGATTATACTGAAGGCACTGGAGTGGGATACTATGAAGACGCGTGTGATTCATCTAGACGGGGGCTACCCTTCGCCGTATGACGCTTTACACCGAGAAATGTTGGGACCAAACTTTGAGATCATTGAGGGTGCGACGCTGATCGGTAAACGCGTGCATTTTCGCGGCGATGTGTTGCTCGCTCCGTTTGAGTTTTCAGGACCCGTGATTCAGCATGTGGATCACAACGAGTCGTGCTACGACTCTGAATTGCTGAAGTCGTTCCGTGCCCAGTCTCTTCTCGCCTTTAATATAACACCGGAGGTCGAACGCGAGCTTGGTGTGACGAGGATCCGGCCGATGTATGTGACGGTGATCACTCGTCGGCCGTACGCGGGACGTAAGCTGCAACGCATATGGCGGAACGAGAATGAGGTGATGAGGAACATGCGGAAGGATTACAACAATCTCAGCGTGCAGTTTCGTTCGATCGATTACGTGAACCTCACGCTACATGAACAGATGACGACTACCATCGAGAGCGACATGATCGTCAGTATGCACGGCGCTGGTCTCGTCAACGTACTTTGGACACGACCGATGACTACAATCGTGGAGATTTTCCCGAAGGAGAAGTATCGTTACGGGTACCAAAACATTTGCCACCACGTGGGCTGCGACTGGCACGAATTTCGTGGTGGCAAGGACGTTGGTGGGGGCTCAACTCCCAACACCAAGAACAAGCGCATTCCGTACGCTGAGTGGAAGGAATTTTTCCATCCGCTGTTTCAGCAGACGTATGACGCCTTCGAGGAACAGCAAGCGGTGTTGCGTGGAGAAGCTTCGTAGGATCCGTCATGTATCAAGGCCATTATCAAAGAGCTGCAATTGCAGACCGTAGTTGTACGATTTAACCTGCAATGGAAGTGTTTTGTACGTTAAAGTGGAGAAAGTCTAGCAGGGTGCATGTAGTATTCGAAACGATAAGAAACAATGTGTGATGCAAGCGAATGACCTAAAAAACAAGTTTGTGCAGTAAACTAAGCCGCAATGAATTCCTTTTCCATACATTTAGTATTTTTTGCATCGCATCCACCAGTTGTTACTGCAATGCTGGCAATGTCGAGTCGTATTTCACGAGTCAAGTTGTGTAGTACATCGTGAATGCATCATTACCCACTCGATGTACAACACGGCCATCCCTATTGCACTTGCGTCATGAGGCCTGTATCGATGGATTTAGGTTGTAGTTTATTCATCGACTGGTTTACACTTTGTACCGCTTGTCTGTTTGTGCTCGCATAGTCATGTCATAAGCAGCTCACAACGGTTCTTCTTCATCTGTTCATAGGTATTACAAGGCGAGCAACCTAAACAGCTATGGGCGTCTCTAAGTCCTGGTTAATCGTCCATCATCAGACTAGATTGTATCGATACGTGAACACCACACTGCAGCAACAGCAGCACACTGTGCCCGGCCTCACGCATGTCTCGGGTTTATAAATGTAACGTTGATATGGACGCCCGTCGTACACGGGGTCAGCCAAGATACAGGTTGCCCACCAGGTCCTCATTTTCTGGCTGAGAACAATTTCAGACCTTTTGCTCACAACACTTGTAACTAGATGGACATGAAGTTCTCCTCCTGGTTCTATCCCTGTCAGCTGACGACGTTACTGTTTGAAACACAATTTAGTTAAACACACCATTCTAACTTTGTCAAATCTAACTGCGCTAATATCGACAAACTGGGCTGACCATGTTTGCTTTGGCCGATATCGTGTTTCGTAAAGGAAGTAATCCCGTTACAACCGGGCAAACGGGCTAGAAAATTCAAGTGCCTGCTGTCATCTCGAATCAAGTAGACTGCAACCATGATACATTCTTTTGAGAAGACGATAATGATCATGACGGCTATCGAATGCGTGAAGGAGAAAAACAGTCATGTGACCACTTTGCCGACAAGAAGGCGAAACCAACATTGACTTTGTTGTCGATCAAACTAATTTTAGAGGATGAAAAGTTGATAAATTTAACAAAGTCGGTGCGCCTAGACAGGTGGTTATCTCCCTATTGATTCACGATTAAGCGTACGAACAAGTACGCCCCCAAAAAGATCGGAGGTTCCAACCGGAACGTCCTCTGTGCACGAGAAGGTTAGTAGGACATAAATTAATCGAAGATTGTTAAGAGATAATGATTACTTTACAACAAATTGAGGTTGAAAAAGAAACGGACAGCAAAGAATTGGTTTTTATTTCATTTAAATTACTTCATTTCTGTTTAACTCGCCGAGATTATTATAAAGTTGGCTGATCTTGTTTTTGATAAAACTAAACATTTTTATTATCTCTATGTTATTTAAAAAGTTTCTTCTGAAACAAGTAATATTTGACTGATCAAATAATCGTACACTTCAAAATTTAAAGTAACTTTTGTTTAGTAGAATAATCTGTAGATAAATTGTTCGAAATATTGTTTGATTTAAGAAATAAAGAGATTTAACTAAATCAACTTGAAAAACAAACAAGTCCGATGTCACTGACGAACTTCACTTAAGCACACTTCGAAAATTATTTAGGATTTTGCTACAAAACTCCGATATTTGCTAGTACAACCTGATGAAGCGTTTTACAGTTCCGAAAAGCAATATTACAAGTGTACGAATTAAAGTGTTCCTAAAAACGGGGAGCTGTCATTATCACCACGTGGCTTACTGTTCTACAGCAGTACAAAATGTGTCCGAAGCACACACATGTACAGTTCGTGTCCCAGCAAATTCCACCACGCTCCTCACTACACTACCCAACATGAACAAACGCGAGGGTGTGCAGGTCCGCTTCGGCACATTGTTCCATCCTCCCTCATGATTGCGTTCTACCTAGTAACTGGTGCATGGTGCTCTGCGTACATCTCGACTTTACATTTCCTTAAATAGACCTTTATTCACAAGCAGTTTAAAACAGGAACTAAGGATCAATCAGCAGTATTTTGCTAACCATCCACCACCCCTACTTAAAATAGGGGAGCAAGCTATTATGCTCGCCCTTTGTTATATGTAATTCAGCCTACAAAATCGGATCAAGTTCTGTATATTCACGTACCCTTTCTGAGGATGTTGGCGGCGAGAATATGGGTCTCGGTGTGGTGTAGGTTTTTATCAATAAGAAAAGAATGTCGATAAATTGTGTGCATTTAAGCAACTTGTTGATGTGGTTGATTTCTAAAACATGCGACAATGAAGCATAAAAACGGGGATAATCCTGCTCGGCAATGCCAAAAACAACGAAGTGCGGTCTGTGAAACCTGTAAAACTAATGGTAAAGATAATTAGATTGAGAGAACTTCTTCTACCATCGAGATAGAAACGAGACCAGCGTTATCGCTCTTCTTTGACTTATCAAGTACTTAAGATCAAAGCTTTTCACACTTAAGCGTGTCCAGCTGTCAGCGTAAACTGAATTTCTGTCCGATTAAAAACATCATATACGTATACTCATAAAAGTACGCAACAGCAGCGACACAATTCAGGGTATAAGTCGAGAAAAGTCTGTTATGATCCCGCCTACGTGTTTGCACTTCTGCGATACCTGGGAAAGTTTTTTTGGCTGCATGCCATTTACTTTGGGTTTCGAGATGGATCAAGTCATTGCCGAAGTTTAGTCGCATGTCGTTGGCTGAAGTTGATAAAGAGAACGATGGTTTCAAAGTCGACGACGTGGTTCCAAATGACACTGGCAAAATTATACTGTTGAGCCTAAACGGGGACCAAAAAAACAGGCAAAGGCGACCACCACCTCATCAGTCACATTAGGCCGAAGTAGAATTCTAGCGTAGCTATACCGACTTTTGTGATTTTTTTTCGCACAGGCTTGAAAGGAAGTTTTGTTGAGCTGTTATCGGTGCACAAAAAATTTAGTCATGCTTACTGGTGGAGGCGCTTAATGTCATGCAACGGTTAACTTATTACATTGTTGTGCAGACATTAATTTTGCGTCGCTCATTTTTACCATTACTTAGATTCTATCTGACACGCTGGATTGAAACATGCGACCATGAGTACCACAAAGCGACCGTCAATGTACTTTTCGGAAGTGGCTCGTGAAAGCACGTATTCTAGTGATCTTAACTGCCCAAATTGCGCATCTTTATGTGGTGATTCTACAACAACGATTTCTGGAAAGGCCAAGTTGAGAATAGATTGTCGCATATTTACTGCTTGAATACGTAGAACGGGCATACCTGCATTATACTAGTCCCTATTGCATACGTGGGATATCCAGATGTAATTTACCCGATTACAAGTTTTTGGCAAGACTGTGTATCCAACCCCAGCACATATTACGGCTTGTGATGATCAGGCTGATAGCATCGATCGGGAGAAGCTTCTATTCATAAATTGCTCGTGGTGCGGAAATCAACGCCGCCCAGAAGATGATCGATTTCCATCTTTTAAGACAATTTCGATAACATTACTCGGTAAAGATAACTGTAACGGGGTGAATCGTTACATAACAATTTATAAGAAATTGTTAATAGAATATAACTATAAGAGTTATATTCTCAGAATATTGTCATAAGGACAATATTCTGTAGCACTTCCAAGTAGTTCCTAATTGGTTGATATAGGCCATTATATCAACCAACGAAGACGCGCCACGACAGACGCACGCAATGAGTGGTGAGCAGATAACTGATTTACACATTTGTATTTAGACATAGTTAGATGAAGATAAATAGTGATTTATTGCAGACATTAACTATTATAAATACAGTTCTACTTTTTACTCTAACCGAGTACTCGCTTCTTCTTACCGTCTTCCTCTGCACGTACGAGTGTACGTGAAGTTACGAGGCACCGCCTTATTCTGTTATCAGAATAAGTAGCTTGTACTGTCACCAGTACAAGCTTCAGGGTGCCCCGTTACACCTGGTAGCACTTCGTAGTCCGTCCAAGGACCGCGTTCACATCCAACATGAATATGTTGGATGATGAAGATGACCAAAGCTTTCACGCTACGCGTGACGGCTACTCCCATTTGAGCGATGTCGAATGGGATGCGGTTGAACGAATGGGTTCGACCATGGGCATCCATGCTGTTAGCGTCATGCTAGAGGCTCTCAATAGAGATGCCCAACATGCTACTATCGCCAAGTTCATTCAAAATGAACTTGACGCAGAACGCGAGAAAGTAGCCTTGCTTCACCAACAAGGTTCTCAACAAGCAGAGTTGTTGAGAGAACAAGGTGCTCAACAGTTTGAACTGTTGAGACAGCAGCAGGCTGCTGCTGGCGGGTCGATGCACTCGCGTCGGCCCGAGACTTTGAAGATTGACATCTCAAAGTATAGGGGGTCGAAGAAGACTCCCTCTTGAGATGGTTCGTCGAATTGGATGACGCCATAAGGGCGCGTCGCATCGACGACGGGGATATGCAAGTTGCATTTGCCCAGTCAAATCTGGCAGGACGTGCCAAGACTTGGGCACTGGGGCTCAAGCTGCACGACCCATATGCGTTTGGGTCGTTGGAAGTCTTCAAGTCGCGGCTCAGACAAACGTTTGAACCGCCTAGAGCTGAGTTCAGAGCTCGAACCGAACTCTTGAAGCTCAAGCAGGGTAAGCGTGATGTGCACGCTTACGCTCAACATATACGACATCTCACGAGTTGTATAAGTTCCAATCCGGTGGATGAACACACGTTGGTTTCGGTGTTCATGCAGGGTCTTGCGGATGGTCCCGTCAAGACTCACCTGTTCCGGCTTGAACTAGATTCACTAGAACAAGCCATTTCCATTGCGGAGCAGGAAGACTTCAGTCTGAGACAGGCTCGCGCCAGCTCGACATCATATC